GAAAGGAAAAGCAATCATCGTGTCGATGATCGTGCTTAGCCTCTACTGAAAGGCAGCTTGTCTTTATGTAAAGTCCTAATCGACAACAACACTATAAAACTAGGTAACTATTAACAGTTTTAGATTATTGTGGTAGTTATATTAAAGTATAAATACTGATTGCGATCTAAGATCAAAATTTCGTTTTGAAACGGTCCGAAATATTTTTATTTTCAAAAAAAATGAAACGAATCAACGATAGAATTGAAATGTTAATTATTCAATGTGTTTCATAATATTTCGAGATGTTTTATATGTTTCAATATATTTGCATAATTATTTCAGAATGTTCAAGGTATTCAAGATATTTTGGTATATTTCAACCAATATTTTGAAAAAATAGTTCTTAAATTTTTTATTTTTTCTAAAACGGGTTGAAACTTTTCCGAAATAAGTCGAAACGTTTTCGTTTTTTTAATGACCAAAATAATGCACTGAAACAAAAATTTAATCTTTGATAGGGATCTCTTATTTGTTATATAGTGTTCTAATTGGTCTTTTTTCATATATGCACGATATATATTGATTTTTTTTATCTTTTTGTATTAATTAAATTTGTAAGTATTAAATATAATATGATTATGTATAGATGTATCATCACTTTATCGTTGGTCGGAAAACACAAATTTTGAACTTGTTAAAGTGTTCACCCTATAAGAATTTTTTTTAACTCCGCCTTTGAGTGTGTATTGAACAATGTCTGAACGACACCACTTACATGATTTAGAAAATAGTAGTCTATCACAACTTATTGAACAATCCTAATTTAGATGGATGTTAGCAATCTCATGATCGGATAAGAATCCCATTTCTAGAATATAACTAGAATAGTTTCATATCAAAACTTTTGATTAAATCAAATTAAGTTACAACTGAAATAAGGAAAAATTTCAGTTACAACTAAATTTATGTGCTATATATATATATATATATATATATATATATATATATGCACTAACAAAAATTTCATGTCTAAATACACCATAAAATATAAAAAAATTGAACATTAATTGTGGAACATTTATATTTTAAATAGTAATTTATTTATTTTTGTTCAATTATGCAATTAAAATTAAAGTCATTATCAAGAAGGGGGAGGGAGAAAAGAAGGATAGACGTGGATTGACGAGGTTGTTTAACATTTAGAGTCATACAAAGAAGTTGATATTTTTTAGCAGAAAAAAAAAATTAGAATAAAATTTGTACTATTTGATCAATTTTTTTTAAGTTAAAAATTCAACTTACTAACTGACATATGATTCTTACATGAGCTAACAGCTGTAAAAAAACAGGATAGATGCCATTGACAATAACAACACAAGAGGTATATGAACACAAACATATGTTGTGAGTTGGTCTATCAATCGTAACGAGACGAGTTTATATTGGATTTTAGTGAGTTGTATTAAAAAATATTTTTTACATATATAACGAATTATATCATATCAGATTCGTATTAAAAGTGAATCGTATATAATAAATTTATAAATAAGTCATGTTGTATATTAATTGTTTTAATTAATTTTATTTATACCCAATTTATTTTTTATTTATGTCAAATTCACTAATTTACAAAATAAATAACTTAAAAAAAGTCCAAAATCTCTAATTTATGTTATATTCTTGCAGTATTAACAGATAGCTTAATATTTTGACAAACTAAGTGTTGGTTGATGGGAGTAGGCAGGCCAGCAGGAGGCCACCATTGGGAAAGCAAATTGCGAGAGAGAGAGACAGGCTGGCAAGAGAAATAGAACTGGAAATCGCAGGGGACCCCATCCTTTGGTCGTGCTGTCACCATCGACCACCCTTTTCCCCGCAATTCGATCTCTCTGTCTCCACTCCAACGCACAGAAACACGCAGACACTCTGCACCGTTACTCTCCACAACTTCTCCAACAAACGGATTAGTAAACATTAAGACTAATGTTGTTTAAATCTAAAAATAATTATCCACACCATTAAAACCTGAAACTGTAGAATCAGATACAAGAGACTGAGAGAGGACGGGCTTTGGCGTCTGCGCACACCTAATCTTTTTTAGATCCCGTAATAATAAGAATTTAGGGCATTAACTACATTTTTTTTAGACAAGAGAGAGTGTGAGTTGCAGTGTACAGAGTCGCAGATGGGAGAGAAGAAAGAGGCAGGGTGGGACAGAGATGGAGTGACATATAGAAGTGTCCTTTTCTCTTTCTGTCTCTACATGTATTTCCGGTTTCCCGCCAGCTGACATACACAAGATGGTACAGAGCGAGTGGGTTTGTCAGCACGTCTCATCAGCGTCATTCCTTGTATCCGGTTGGATGATCTTATTAGGGATCACATGCACTCATGTAGGGCTTTGGTTTGTCTGTTGTTTTTTAGAAACGCCCATTTTCAAAAGGGCAAATATAATTTTAAAATGGTTTTTGAAATTTTAATTATATTAATTTAGTTTTTTAATTACTAATCTCATCTCAATTAAGGTATTTTTTTTTTTTTTGTCAATTTCAACCGTTAGAATATATAATGATACATGATGCAAGCAACTGTATAACTAATATGATTCGAAATAAAAAACTTCATAGTGAGTACCGACACATTTGTAATGGGTTAAGATTAATTACTTTTGGACATGAACAAGAAAATGATACAACCCGTTAGCACAAGTTTATAAATGGATCATGTTCAAGATCTACCTGTGTAATACAAAATTGGCACGATTCACCTATTTAATTAATCTAGGCAATATGAATACGAAATTGACCCACCTAAATGTAACTCATAGATGTTAAATGGGTCTGAAGTGTAGATAAAATATATAGTTATTTTTATGTGAAATATGTTTTTTGAATTTTGATTTCTAATATGTTTAATATGTCTAAAATAAAATAATAAAAAAAAAGTAACTGCATAAAAAAGATTTAGTCATGATATATTTTTATTTAATGAAAAAGTGATCATGATACAGTGTCGAAAAGTGGATTTCAATATGGCAATTAATTGAACACTATGCATTATAAAACATTATGTGACAAGCTAGGGTAATCACCGGTTGCAAATTATTCAAGCCAAAATTAAATTTCAGTGTGATTCTGTAGCTTTATTCAGTAAAATATATTCACTTTTAGAATTTATTTTTAGTACGTAATATCAACTCTGCTTCTATAAAGTATTCATTACTTGCATTTAATTTGATTTGAAAATTTATTTATTATTATATAGTGTTTAGACTTGCATCAACTAATTTCTCGAGCTCAACAGTTGACTACAATGACTTGAGGTAAGAATGTTTGGATGATCCCCGTGTTAGGGGGGGGGGGGGAGATTGGATTAGTTTTAGAAAACCCCATCAAACCCAACCTAAGGAATTTTTACGGGGATTCATTCATAAAATCCAATGCAATCTCATATTTGATAGATGACATAAATATATATGAGTTCCATTGATTCAGGTCAAATCAGATTACTCAATTTACTAAAATGTCTATTATTAGATAAATAAATGAATAAATTTTGGTGTAAGATAAATTTTTTGCCTTCAAATCCAATTTTTCACTTTTGAACCCCACTAACTCCATGGGTTTTATCAAACCCCCCATAATTGGCTTTCAATATTATATTCATTGTGGACACACATATAAATTTTGGGTTTGAAAGTTCGACCAAACATGAAATTAAGTGGTCTATTAGAATATTTTTCTTTACCCTCCCCCTCCTTCCAACTAACTTTTAGAGAGAATGACAATAAGCTAAACTTAAGGCCTCTGAATTACTAAAGACTAGATTCAACCATTGAAGCATTCTTAAGGAAAAAAAATATTGAGTGTAACCGTTATATCATGTCAGCAGTGTCACATGGTATAACAGTAGACTAATAAATAAACAAGTTTATAGGTGAGCCTCACAAAAATTTATAATTACCCAACTATTTGATTGTTTTTTATTGAATGGTTACACCCAATGTTTGAAGACGTACTTCATTACTATTTATTCAATACAATATTAACAACTAATCTATTAAACCTTTAATTGATATTCTCAAATTACATTCTAATAATCTTCACCCATGAATATTTTTTGTTTTGATGCAGTATACTTTGTACCCTAAAAATATTGAAGATTTTTATTTTTTATTTTCAAAGATTAAATTTTTTATATTACACTTTCAATTTTTTACATTGCACCCTTAATATTTTAACATGTCATGCCAATTCAAATATAACATTGTCAACAGGTAGACTTTTGACAAATAAAAAAAAAACGAAAACTAATATAATAGTTATATTATAACACTATTGATACATTGAAGGTATAATATTAGAAATTTAATTTTTAAAAAAATAAAATAAAATTTATAAAAATTTCCAAGAAGCAATGTACAAAAACCCTTTCCTTGTTGAGTAATATTATTTAAACCTAAAAATCTGAATTAATTTGTTGACATAATGATATTATTTTATAGAAATTATTGGATCAACATCAAATTTTAATATTTAATAAAATTTCATATAAATTTATAAATTAAATACATAGCTTTACCCTTCTTTTTTTTTTTACCCAAAGAGGAACAACATTTTCTCCACAAGACCCTGACTCTTTTAAACCTTCCGGTAAAAGGAAACAAGAAGAGAAGTTCAAAGCATAAATAATAGTAGTTCCCATTCACCGGCTATAGCCAGTTACGGAGAGAGAGAGAGCATTCAGAAAACCGGGAAGTACATGGGGTTTTTGGGATAAAACAGCTCTGTTTTTGCACAGAGACAGATTAATGGCCACACTCTCTCTCTCTCTCTCTCTCTCTGTCTCTCACCTCTTAGCTTCTTTTTTTCAATCCCAAACTCACTCTCTCTCATATCCTAAAATATAATTAGAGCACAACCGGCAAGACCATTCGCCGGTCACCGGAAAACCTAGTATATCCAGAGGTCATGATCCATATTTAATTACTGCGTATTAGCTAAAGAAGATGAGCTAAAATGGAGTTTGAAGATCAAGAAGAGCATGAAGAGGAGACTGAGTTGCCACCGAGTTATGATTCGCTTGAAAACTTAGCTCGACCCCAAATGCCAACCCCAGTTGGATCAGAGCCGCCATTGAAGCCTAGGTACAGAGAGTGCTTGAAGAACCATGCGGTGGGTCTCGGTGGCCACGCCGTCGATGGGTGTGGGGAGTTCATGCCCGCCGGAGCTGACGGTACCATCGACGCCCTTAAATGCGCAGCCTGTCTCTGCCACCGCAACTTCCACCGGAAAGAAACTCACTCCACCATCGTCAGCGGTAGCGAACCGTTCTACTTGCCGCAGCACCACCTACTGACCCACCACCCTCACGGCCAGTTTTCTTCACCACCCTACTACCGAACTCCATCTGGCCGGTATCTCCAGGTGGTGCAACACCAGAGGCCATTGGCTTTGCCGTCGTCTTCCGGCGGCGGTGGTGGGTCGGAGGAGGACATGTCGAACCCAAATAATACTATTGGAGGGGTGTCAAAGAAGAGGGTTAGGACGAAGTTTACTCAAGAACAGAAAGAGAAGATGATGGATTTGGCGGAGAGGTTAGATTGGAGGATTCAAAAGCAAGATGAGGAGGTGGTGGAGCAATTCTGCAATGAGGCTGGAGTGAGAAGGCATGTGCTCAAAGTTTGGATGCATAACAACAAGCACACCCTTGGTAAGAAACCCTAGATCATGAAAACACCAACAGCAAACTACAGAAAAAAAAAATGCAGCCTAATGTAAGAGACTTCTGTTATTAAGGGTTAGGGGACAGCCAAATATACTCGGTCTTACCTCTAATCCATATGCATTGCTCTATCTATATTTATCATATATATTGTAGCCATAGAACATCTTCATTTGTTAGAAGCATTGGAGATCAAGTGGTAAGAGACCATGAGTGAGTACTTGAAGTAGTATGTGACCTGTGGGAGATGAAGTTTGATCCGGCTGAGACTTGTGCTTTCAAGGGTTATATTTCTCTCATAGATTTTTTATCCCGTTTTCGCTCTATATTGAATATTTTATGAAGTGATGGGGTTCCAGTGGACATATGTGTCTGTCCATTTGATTTTATGACTAGATTATGGCAATATTTGTGTAGTTTCAGATACTTTGGTCTGAGGCGTTGAGAAATGGGTAAGTTATATATTAGATTGTGTATGTGTTTTGAGGTTTTGTGATATCTTAGAACTAACATGGTTGAAGATGAAGCTAGCTACCTAGTCATGGTTGTATTGAATCTGACCCTTTACCCATTAATATTGTATGTTTTTGTCTTGTTTGATTGTCTCTGTGGTTTGATAGCTGCATTTTCCGCTCTCTCTCTCTCACTTCTTCCAACCTACCTTATCGATTTGATCCAGAAAACCTTAGCTACGATGGATAAATGTGTTTGTGCTAGAGAGAGGTATATGCGTTGAAGCACTACGAATGTAATTTCATGGGTGCAATCTTCTGCGTTTTTCAAGCCACATATCCTTTCCTATTCCATTCTCTCTCTCTCTCTCTCTCTCTCTCTCTCTCTCTCGCATGATATCACAGCCATTGCATGCCTGCATTGTTCTCTTCTACCCTTTTCTGGATCTTCTTTAAGAAGGTACTTCCAACTTTAAATGTCAAAACGAGGAAAGGCTGGTTTCTGTTGCACCTCTTTTCTCTCTCCTCGTTTGCATTTAGTAATGCAGTTATGAGAGCAAACACTTATCTTTGAACTGTTCACCGCTTTTCTTTCAATAATACTGTGCAGCTTTTGAATATTTACTTCATATGACTAAATAAAACTATGCACTATTATACATAGTAACATATAATATATTACATTTATCAATCTAATATTTGTCCATGATTGAGGGAGGGAGACCAGGAGAAATTTTTCAGTTTTGATATAAATTTTCAATTAATTATGAATAATGCTTGGATACCACTTTTGTACACCACTTCTCTTATTCCACCTAATGTGACATAATTAGAGTCATTAAATATTTAACAAACTCTGTAAGACTTATTAATCGAACGGTCAATGTTGGGGTGGTATAAAAAAGTAATGTAAAAATGTGGCGGGTGTATAATTATTGTCATTTGGAAGTTGTCAAAATTTTTAAAAAATTATGTCCAGCAATCAAGTTTTGGGATAATTTTTCGTTGGATGCGAAAATTAGAGTAAACTACATATATGACAATTGTATCAATTAAGTCCTTAATTTTTATTTTTTTATATTAATTAAACTTTTAAACTCTCTAATTGTATAAATTGAACATTTTTATCTGCCTCTGTTAGAGTGTATCACTTATGTGATCATATAACACAAAAAGACAGAAGGGTTAATTGACACAATTTGATAGTTCAGAAGATTAATTTACACAAAAAAAAAAGTTTATGAGCTTAAATGACACAATGATCATAGTTTGACGGTCATATGTGTAATTTATTCTAAAACATTTGTATCACTCAAGTGATACACTTCACCGCTTTTCGTTAAAAAAAATAATGGAAGTAGAAGGATTAAATTGACTCAATTAAAGAATTTATGGACTTAATAGACAAGGACTATATATATGGTTTACTCACAAAAAATTACACAGAACTGCCACGTAGTACCCACTAAGCGGCTGATATTGTTTCATAGACTAGATGTTTTATCTTGGGAAGGAAAGAGGTGAATGAACTTGCCATATTATATGGCAATGTTGTTGTGTTCTCTTTAGTTATTTTGTTTGTTATATAAATTTCTTGGGAAAGAGAATGTGCATATTATCTGTTCGCACATTGACAAAATCCAAGTTCAAGAGAGTCGTTTGATCCAAATAGGGTCCTATATTCTACATTCTTCCCCCTCTTTCTTTTTGATGTTCCAAAGGCAACATGTGAGTATTACAACAGCAACAACAATCTATGTTTAACGATCTTCTTGTTTTGCTATTTATATTTCAAAAAAAAAACACAATCGACCCATTTAGAGCTGATTTTTTTGGGTGCGAAATAAAACTTGAAAAATGAAATGAAAAAATCAGAATTAAAAAGCCTCTTAAATCCATTTGGAGTATTTTCGAAAAAGTCGATTTTTTCTTAGAAACCCTTGAATAAAGCTTATTTTTCAGTTTTTCCTTGGTACTGATAAAAGCTGTTTTTACCCAAAAAAGATGAAAAAATCGTCCAATAAGCCTAAATCCAAACGAACAAGACTTTTTCATTGAAAAAATTGAGGTTTTAAGTCATCTCTAAACAGGCCCAATATGTACAATAGTTTAGAGTTACTATGGGTTAGAATCAAGTGAGATCTCTCTAATCTCCCGATTTGTATCTTCTCTAAATTATATTGTGTCAAAATTTACTCAATTCGTCCCTAACAACGTTGCAGCAGTTTAGTGTCATGTATACACCTTATTTGATAACGTTGGTGTCGACCCTGTTGGGATTTCTCACGATTTAAATTCACTAACAAACACACACAATCGAAGAACAAATCAAGAATATAAAGCAATAAGAAACAAGAAAGAACAAGACACAGATTTTACGTGGTTCGGCAATTTGCCTACGTCCACGAAGCTGCAGGAATTTCACTATTGAGAGAGTTGAATACAGAGAGCGGCTGTACATCCACGATTAACCCTATCGGCCCAAGCCTTCGCTCCATGGACTAAGCCTCAGAAAATTTTCCATTAAAAACCACACAACATTATTTCGGGTCGGGTCATCATCCAGATCACATATACAAACTAGACTCCATAAAAAATAAACCAACAGACCCTTCATTAAGCCAATGTAATATACACACCCATTCACCACCCAATTATGTCAAGGATAAACTTAAACTTGTCAAATTTTTTTGTTGATTTTTGTTTTGTCTTCCCGAGTCGTCTCTTGTAACTTTTTTAGACGCATCTTAGACCTCTTTTAATCCTTATTGAGTTTGTTCTGATGAGATAGCAAAGGTGTTAATGATTCACGATAATACGCCAAAAAAAAAATAGCATAGGTGTTTAATAGCATCACATATGCAAAAATGGGAAAAGAGTGAAAATTCGGGTGCCTTGTAGGGACTCATGTTTCAGATTTCATGGTACTGGTGAACAAGAGTGATTATTTAGAGTAATGCCTGTTTTGGGCTCTTTTACTAGTTCTATTGCTTCTTATGGAAGAATCCATCACTTAAATCTGCATAACTGGTCCCTATATGTATAATTTGGTTAGAAATAGCCAGTTTTGATAATCTTTGTTTTACCTATGTACTTATATAGCACTTCTATAGGATTTACAATTGTTCATATGATCCATCAATTTAACATCAAATCGGAAAAAAAAAAACAAAAACTATCCATCATGAATTTAGTTTTGAACAAAGCTGTGACATACCTGGAATTATTACTGAAACCTGTATAATAAGTAGATTTATAATATCCCATGTATACACACTAGGAACCAAACTCTACACCATTATAAATAGTCATGTATAGGTCAAATCAATCTTGACATGATACAGAATTTATATGACACGATCGAATATCATACCTAATTACATGGAAAAATATCACATTAATCAAATTTTTTTTGCCTAGTAAAAGAGAAAAACTTAAATCAAGGTTACAATGTTGTCTATGTATGTTACACTGAGATCAATCCTGTGATTTTCTTGTTTCGTTTTCAGCCAAGTTTCTACATACACAGTGTTTGGTTGTTGTATAGGTAACGCATTACACCTTGACCCACACCCTCGTCTGAAATAAAGTTCACAATGTTGACTTGTTGTCTGTGAACGAGTGAACGAGTGATTTCTCGTATGTGTAAACGTGGAAAAATCATTTCATTCTTTTTCCTAAAGTGATGGATAAAACTAACTTTTATTATATCATGAGAGCGTATCCAGTTGATTCCATCAGACATTCTATGAACCTAACCGCTATAATTTACTAGTTAATAAAAATAAGGTTAGTTTCACTCTTCTTCGGAGTTTGAAATTAATAAAAGAATCTCATGCACTTCTAGTAGAACTCTTTCTTCAGAGAATCATCCCCAGGAATTACAACATTGGCTCCGGTCCCTGGAAAGCATGGGCCGTCACATGGTGGGTCAAGTCGGTTCTGCTCCATGCCAATTAGTAACACAAGATGAATGACTTCTTAGTCTTGATCTCTAGGATTTCCTGTCCCTTATATTTTGAACAATTTCCTTTCAAAAAACGAACTCACAAAATAAACTTTAGATCATTTTTTTGAGATCCCAAGTTGGGCAATTATAAATTTAATGAGCGTCGTAGATGTTGCACGCATCCCAAGTTTAGATTGAAGCCACATGTCCTTCGATTCACCTCAAATGGGAAAAAAAAAAAACAAATGAGTTGTCATCTCAAAGATCCGTAAATTTGAAACTCCTAAAAGACGTGTTGGTTGAAATAATATGTATGATTTGCGTCATTATGTACATTCTAATTTATATATATCGTATTCATCAACAAGTTTAACGAGCATGTGATTAAAACGACTCTCGACTATTAAAAATTGTGTTGCTTAATACATACTTCCAAAAGTTTCAGATACTATGGCTAACAGAAACCGTATATGTAATGGCAAGAATATTAATGATTAGCAGCTGCCAGATTTGCCCATTTTGAGCCCCAGAATCAGAGCAGTATATAAGACATACCTTGAGAAGCCAAAGGTTGGCCATAGAAAGATTCTTTTGAGTCAATCATCTTTTTCAAAGGAGACTGAAGAAGTGCTTTTGCAGCAGACCACTTTCCTTTTTGACAGTCTCAAGGACTACCAACTTATTATTTTGTTGGAAATCAAATGGTGTGGGTAGGATTGTTTTCGTGTCGTTTTTACCTTTGTATCAATGATATTGTTATTTTATCTCCTATCCGTGACATTAGTAACCGACTTTGTAGCGTGTGAGGTTCGTATAATTGAGTTCATAATAACTCATTTATTAAGTATGATTGGTCAATTTATTTATACTCCAAATCCAACAAAGATGAACTCATATCTCATAAGTTTGCGTTGACTTCGTGTCTAATTAGCGAGTCATGTTGAGATTGTCCCAAAAATATAATATGCCTCCAATGGTGTTAAAACTAGATGCCTAATTGTAGTCATATTTGCTATGTATCGATAGTCTTTTTCTTATAAGCAACGATATTTTTACACTACAAGAGAAGGGGAGGGGAAGGGAGAAGAGACTCGAACCATCAGCATGCCACTCCATTATGAGTTGGTCGAGTTTAAGGACCAAAGTCCTACCCGAATGGCTCTTAACCAACTCATAATGGGAAGAGGTTGTAAATTGCAAGGCAGTGGATAAAACTGTGTTTGAAGATGAGTAGTCTTTTTAAATTTTTCGCACTAGCCCACGTAAAAATGTTAGTATTCGAGCTTTTCAACCTGATCATGGGCCAGGCCCACCCTGATTATGGGCCAGGCTTTTGACAAATTAATATGGCTTCTCATTAAACAAAATCCTTTAATCATGACCACACATTCACACAATTTACAAGTCAAACTTATGCCAACGAGGCTTATTGTCACAAGCAGCAATGTGACGATCACGATCTGATTATGACACTACACAACACAATATGACTTGGTTGACAAACCTTATTTCACCAGTAGAAAACCAAAGCATATCAGCAATCCAAAACACTGCCTCAACTCCTCCATTCCAGTTCAAGTAGCCTGTTCTGGACACCCACGATCGCCTTTCGCTGCCCTGAGGTGCCACCACCATTTTTTCTAACAGTGTCAACTTCAGATTGTTGACGAAGACTATGCTTCTTGTTAAGCACTTTAGCTTGATTGGAACTGTTACTTCTCATCGGAACAGCGACCGGACATGGTCCTGATCGGAGAGTTTTTTCCCAGTTGAACTTCTTGGTATCAGAAGCCACCATTGCTTGCCCATTATCCGATCTAGAACTCCATGGCTGACGACTTTCTCGGGCATCTTTCTTGATCTCTTTGATCTCAATTTTGGTTCCTCCTTCCATTCTGATGTTTATATTCACCTCAGACAGTGTTTTCTTGTTGGTACCTCGTTGATTTTTTGCCTCGGGTTCGGATAATTCTCTGGCTTTCCTTTCCTTTTGTTGTTGATAAAGTCGGTGCAATCGAAGTGCAAGATGATATATTTTGTCCATAATCTCTTCCTCCAAATCTCTTTCTACATCCATTTCAAGCTCACTGCGAATCTTCAACTCCTCGACAGACATTGTTATGTTGGTTATGTGGCACTTGTTTTTTGGCCCCGAAGTTTCAAATGACTTCCTTTATGATCAAATGTAACATGTACCACACACGTTAACAAGTAAAACATTTACTAAAATTGTTAAAGCTTGAGATCCCAAATAAATAATCAACGAAATAGAAAGATGCAGAACACACAATATAATGTGGTTGGCTCGAAACTCTATGTCTATGGGAAAAAAGCGCAACGTAAGACGTTCACACCAAAGTTGAAAATTTTATATAATTTTCCTAGTTTTTACGTGACATTATAATTTTTTTTTACACATAGTTTGGTTCTCTTTTCCTCAGATAAAAATCTATGACCGTCTCTGACCAAAATTGTCGGAAAATTACAATATTTTAGCACCTGAATATACTCGTTTTCTAATTAATTTGGATTTCCATATTCTGAAGAGATCAAGTTTACAAAGAGCTTTTAATCTCCTGTTCAAATTTTTATTTTATTTTTATCCAATCTCTTATTCAATTTAAACGGCACAAAATAAGACCCAAAAATAATTGCGCTTGTCCCTGGAGGGCTACGCCCTTAGACTCCAAAAGAGCCTTGTCCATGGGCTTCGGTCAGCCCCTATAGGTCCTGCTCTATGCCAATATGGATCGAGCCCCCAAAATTTTCACAATTAGAATTCAACAGTTATTACTTAGTTAGAACAACTACAAATGAGAGTGGAATCAGGGAGGTAATCTTTTATGTCACCCCATATTCAAAATTCTCCATTCCAAGGGGGTGGCATCAAGGTTCTTGGGTGACAATTTTGACAACTTTGGAGAGAGAGAGAGAGAGAAAGAGGTTGCAAATGGATTGATGAATATAAATCCATTAAATTGTTGAATGATTCAACGATGAATATAGATTGATGAATGAAAATATGAAAATAACACCCTATTTTAGCACCTGTCATTAGAGCAGATTTATAATTCAGAGAAGTTAAAACCAAAATACTATTTAAGGTTATAAATGAGTGATTTGATACTCCAAAATGACAACTCCTTTTAGAGTTGCTCTTAGAAAAAAAAAAACATCAAAATAAAATACAAGACATTCACAATAAAATTTGTCACACATCCTAAAAACGTACAGACAAAACACCTACTCACCGTCTGAAACACACCGCAAGCTCAATACTGCTACAAGTTCTATCTTGAGACTGCAAAACCCACAAAGGATATTGTCAAGCAAGCTCAATGAGATGATATACATATATGTGTGGGTGGGTGTCTCTCTCTCTGTCTCTACCAATAAAACTAATGAACTTACTTCTGGCGGATATGCTTTGATGTTCCATATTGTTGCTTTTGGCCAAGCTGGTCTTGTATTTATGCCTTTCATCAACCTTTTTGATCCTAGTAGAACGACAGTAACCCTGGACATGTGGACCTCTCACCTTTGGTCTATCTAGGTAGAATGAAGACGACATAAGATGGAATTTAAGAACTAAGGTTACCGTTAGAGTCGTTATTTCAGTTGGGACATTTAAATTTAGGCACCAAATACGTCTAGGAGAAATGACAAGTTAATGGACCACACATGGAATTCAATAGGAGAAAAATATACTTTGTCTTGGCTAGTGCTTTACGTGGAAGGAAACATGTGTTTGGGTTGCCCTTAAAGCACAATCTATATATGTCACATTCCCACTTGTCTTTGATGTGAATGTCCAGAGAAAATTGGGCATTCTACAAGTTTTCTAATTGGAAATTATTAATATATATTTCTTTCATAATTTCCTTACGAGATTCACAAAAAGAGAAAAAAAAAAGCCAATATGCTCAATACCCGGTAAAAGGTTGTTTGTCAACAATGAATCTAAGTATATTTAGATTGTAGAAGACATAAGTTCGAATTTGACACGAAGTAACATGATTTGATTTAGATAAACACTTACGAACCTGATACAATATATTTTTATTTTTGGGTAATTAAAGAAGAATTAAAAAAACCTGATACAATATAATTAGCTTTTTCCTCCACTTTTTATTTTTCCAGAAATATAGTTTGGAAAAATTTAATTAGAAGCACATGCATGGTTGTTTCTCAACTCCATGCCAAGTAAACGTTGTTTATGAACCACTCAATCTAAGTGTGTGTCATTTGATGCAAGCTAAACTATATATGATTATAAATAAGTTGAGTATAAATTTAATATATTTGAACATAATGTGACATTATTCAATTTAGTTTTGCATGAACATCATACAATATAACTAGCTGTCTTTTAAAAAAAAAAACATTTTGGTGAGAGACTTATAATTAGAAGCATGCGGATGGTTGTTTATCAACTCAATGCCTAGTAAACACCAGGAAAAAAATTCCAAGTAAAACGGCTGTTTGTCAACCATAGGACATTTGAAGCAATTTTTAATGTTTGTCATGTTTCCGCATATATATTTAGGTAAGAGTGATGAATGACTTCATCTGGTATGTCATCATCTAGGAGTTGTCTTCCAGACGCGGGGGGGGGGGGGGGGGGGGGGGGGGGGGGGAGATTCGGTAATGTGCCACAATTATACGCCAGTTATTTTCCGTGCTTGAAGATATGGAATAATAAAAAAAATTGTCAACAATAAACATATTTATTTTTATACCAAAAATTAAATCACAAACATAAAATAGAGATAAAGAAATATAAGTACCGATTATAATGTAGGTGAGCAGTGTTAGTGATGATGGACGGCGGTGGTGATGGTGGGAGACAATAATGGTTGTGGTGGATAGTGACAACTGTGGTAGTAGTAGCAATCCTGAGTGACAACGGTGATGGTGGTAGATTTTTGGGTGACGATGATAGTAGTGGTAGCTGTGGGTGATGACAGTGGTAGATGTGGAAGGTGGTGGACGGCAGTGATGGTGGTTGGCAGTGATAGTGGTGGGACAACGACAGTAGTGATGAGTGGTGACGATGGTGGTGGTGGACAACAATGGGTACTTCTTAGCGACAGTGTGATGGGTGATAACAAATGACGGTGGTGATAAGCGTGGTGAGAGTAAGTGACAGCGAGTGACTGTAATGGTGGGCGATAACGGATAATGGTGGTAGGTGTGGTGGGGATGGGTGACAGTGGTTGGTGGTAATAATGGTGACAACGGGTGGTGATGGGTTATGGTAATGAGTGATGATGGACAACAATGGTAGTGGTGGGTGCTGATGGTGGCGACGGTGATAATGGTAATGGTAATAAATATAAAAATAAGATGATGATGATGATGAAAGTAGTGGATGGTGACAATGGTAGCAATCAGTAGTGGGTGGCAATGGTGGTGGTGGTGATGGCAATGGGGACAGTGAGGGTGGGATGGGGGTGCATATGGGGCAGTAACGGTGATGGTAGTAGTTGTGATGGTCGTGGAGGTGGTGGTAGGGCGGTGGGGCAGTGGTTGTAGTTTTAGTGATGGTGGTAAGGCGGTGACGATAGTGGTGATGGTGGTGGAGCGGTGAGGGTGGTGGTGGTAGAGATAGTGATAGAACGGTTCTAAACACTCTATTTTTTTAAAGTACTTTTGAGAAATAATTCCTATAAATACTTTTTAAAAGTTACTTCAAATATACCCTTAAGACCTTATTTTTCCTATTAAATTTAGATTTTAATAATAACCGTCAGATTAACTTTAAAATAAAATTTAAAGAGATCTCAACCGAAAATAGTAAAAATTATTTTGTTTATCTTTTGAGATTTGACTTGTTGTATTTTATTATATAAATGTTTTTATAATTTTTGTAAGCATTTTTACTATTTTGTTATAATTATTTTTACTACTTTTATAATACTTTGTAAGCATCCTAAAATGTTAGGATCATCCGTAAGTTACCACAAAAGAAATAAAAACACTCACAAGAATTGTAAAAATAGACACAAAAGTTGTAAATTTTTTTATTTTTAAATGATCCACAAAATTGTAAAAAACGCATTAATATAGTAAAGACATAAATACAATTAGTCAGTATCAAGATCTATTTTTTCTTTTCTTGTTATTTGTTTGAGCAAATGAGGGACATTTAGGTCGGCTTTCTATTTTATATTTTAAACAACTTGAGTAGCCGTAGCTTTGTTGCATTGCTAGCTCCTCGTTTCCTTAATTTTTCTAGAAATTTAAAGTGACGTCTTTTATACTTTTTCTCTCTGACAAACTTCCTAAAGTCGTCCTAAATAGAGATTAAAGATCATAGTTCAACCTAAAAAATATATTTATTTATTTTTATATTACCTATACGTCGTAACCTTGTAAAAACAATATATAGTTGTTTATCTGCACGGTTGCGTCCCTACAATAACTTGAGGTAGCGATCCGCTAGATAATGAATTTGAAACAACCAAAGAATTAGGAAAGGATCGGATGAACACCTGGCTAATCTTCCTTCGAAATTCAAGCCAGCATGAAAGTTATTAGCACGGTGTATTTTCTAGATTTAAATTGCATACTTTTGTTCAACTTTTGTAGAAGTATTTATATCTGAGCTAGCAATGATTGAAGGATTTTTGAGTCTCATCTTAAAATTTAATCGCTCGCACACGTATCTATGCATAATAAGTGTTATCCCATCAAATTCTCTCAAAACTGATTCACTCGGGGCGATTGGACCCTTGCTCGGGACACGTCGATTCTTTATGGCCATATCCCTAATTATTAAATACCACTATTTGGTGCTTGACACCTACGCCCGAGTATTCACTGTTCGAAACTAAGCACCCCTCAAGTTTTACCGAGGACAACAAGCCGGTGTCATAGTAGTTAATAGCTTGTAATGATGACTGTCCTCACACTTCTTGAGGATTTTGATGCGCATTTAATTACTTATAGTCACTCAAAATCTTATTTAATGAGCTGTCATATCTCCTTTAATATCCGGCCCCTGATAGATGTCCTCGGCCTCCCCAAGACTTTAACTCTTCGACGTCTCGTCTACGCGCCCTTTGTACTTCATAACAGATATAATAATCCACGCCTCAACATGCGGCTATTGAGCTGCCTAAAATCCCATCACTATCCCATGTAAAATCATATAAGGAAACTTATGTAAAAAGAAAGGAAAAAAAACAACAAAGAAAAGGTTGGTTCTACTGACTTATGAGTCATGCTTGTGGCATTTAATAATAGCAAATTCACGCTCATTAAGTTGCCAATACTCGTTCAACTTTTCTTGGTGAAAAAAAAACCCAAAGAGAGAAAATAGAAATCATCTTACAATTGAGAAAATATTCAATGTAACAATGATTTTGGATCATCACCATTACGTAGTGTAACTATTCAATAATAAGTTACCAGATACACAACGGGAGTCCCACTAATTCAATGTATTATTTATAGTTATTAATAGTTATTAGAGTAATAGGGTTTACTTTTTCTATTTTTTATTTTTTTTATTGAATTATAACATCATGTAACAATAAAAATATGGTACCAGCATTACATTAAAAATAAAAATGTGGTATCAGTGTTTGGTAGTTGGGTTTTATTTTTGGTAATCTATTGGCTCTAGTTTAATCACTTTTCATGGAAGATCAATTATCTTTATTTTTATAATATGTTTTAACTCAACTCAAATTACAATCACCTTTAAAGAGGTGGAGATAACAACTCTATGAGGGCCAATTATATTTATCCTTCGTGACATCCTCTAAAGAGGTAGTTCGCACAAAGTTAAATACTTTATAAAAAAAATAGTTAATTATAAATTATACCTTGAAAGATCGTTCGAAATATTACATTAAGTGATATATTATATTGGATATAAAAAATATTATATAAATATCTAGATTCTATTGGACATTCAAATGGTAAGGTTGATTTTGAACTTTAGAGTATATCAGACCCACAAAATAAAGGGTAATATGAAATTATAATTTTTTATTAGGATAAAATCATATTTTTTAACGGTTATATTAACATACGTGTTACACGTGCATAAACGTCATAAGATGTAAGAGTAATATTCTAAATTAATGTGAAGGGTTCAAATGATTAAATGACAAGTGTGAGAGGATCTAAGTATAATTTATTAATTTAATTTTAGGTACACATTAATACAAATTTCTATCTTTAAGAGTGTAAATTGAGATCTCTTATCCTTGAAAGTGCACATTAATACAAATTTATATCTTTGAGGGTATAAATTAAAATTTTTGATCTTTAAGAACCTAAATTGATATTCGAACTATCATGGTCCGACTTACAATTAACCCAAAAAATTAATATTAATAAAAAGCCGGCCGCTTTTGAACTCGGTTGCACTTTTTTTCTAAGCAAATCCCTACACACCTCTGATTAGTCGTTCCGTCTCTCTCCTTCTGTTTCTCCGTCCTCCCCAATTATACTCTCTCTCTCTCTCTCTCTCTCTCTCTCTCACACACACACACACATACATTCCCTGCATTTGCTTTCACACGGTTTGACATACATTTGCTTTGCATGATGCAATCACTCTCGCCGGCGATCGGTCCGAAACTGGTTCTCCCGGCGAGAAATTCGCACTGCGATCATTTGATGTTCGGCTCGGTTCTACAGAGTTTGAGACCGAAGTTGAACCAAAGAATTTGTAAGAAATTGCGAATTCTTGCGGAGAACGAAAGTCCAACCACCGCGATCGATTTCAGTGATCCTGATTGGAAGTCAAACTACCAGAAGGATTTTGAGACTCGATTCAACATTCCTCATCTCACTGATGTTTTCGAGGATGCTGATTCCTATCCTTCAACTTTCTGTCTCAGAATGAGGTTCTTATTGCTTTTTTTTCTCTGCTATATATTGTAGTGTCGAGTTCGCATTTGTTGCTGAAGCGGTCATCTGATTGTCACTCTTGTTTCAATCTTGTTATTTAGAGCTTTCGTTGTTGAATTTTGTCTGCGATCGCTGAGTTAAGTTTATTGTAATGTTGAATTCAGAAGTAACATCTTGTTCTTTTTCTAATTTTCATTTTCAGCTAATGCTACTTGAGATCAGCTATTAATTTTTTGGCTTTGATGTTTTGCTAGCTTGTTTGGTTGGACGTTTATATTAGTAGGTTTTGTTTTATTAATATAGATGGCTTTACTTTTTATTTTCTGGCTATTATCTACCTTGAACATCAGTATTTCAATTAAAAGGAAGTTAATATTCTTTAGCTTGTTGGCATCTGTGGAATTGCTTGATATATGTGTTTCTTGATGTAGTTTGAGTTTACTCTTGCAGGACTCCAGTAACTGAAGATTTTGCGGATGGGTATCCATCTGATGAAAAGTGGCATGGATATATTAATAATAACGACAGAGTACTCCTTAAGGTATACCGCTGCCCTACTTTTCATTTGATTCCTCTATAACCTTTGCAAGGAAAGAAAGTTGATGAGATATTTTCAGATGTTAATAATCGAGAATCAATCATACCATCAATCGTGTGATTTGATTGTACTCTAGTATGCGATCTTCAACACTTCCTCTCAAGTGCCAACTTGAACTGGAAAAATAGAATAGTCTTCGAGATTGTGCAATTGTTCAATTTGTCAAGAATGCTCTGTTGTTAAATTTTCCAGGCGTACGGTTCTGTTGAAGTTTTCAAAAATGCAGCTTTGTTGATAAAGTTCTCATGAATGGAAGATTGGGAACAACAATATGCACGGAACAATCCATTATGCAAATACAAAGAAGTAGTAGTGTGCACGAAATGACTCATTGTGCAAACATGAAGAAAAAGATGCATAGGATTGAGACGTAGGAAAAGGTGCACGGAATTAGCATCGTGGAAGCATAAACTAGAAGCACAATCAAGCAGGGGCTCATAGGACCCGTTGTGATACGGTGTTGAATTTTGAATAAAGAGATTGAAGAGAGAAAGAGGACAACAAAAGAACACACAAAACCGCAAATGCCCGAAGGACTACATTTTCGTTGTGCCCACCTAATTGCTTACTTGCCTCACATCTATATCTATAGGATGAAAAAAGTGCAGACATTTGACAAGGAATAACCAATCAATTATTTATAGTTTACAGAGAAAATCATGTGTTCAACTTGTGATTCACATGTCAATAATCGAGAATTAATCATTCCATCAATCATGTGGTTTGATTGTGTTGACCCATCAGTCATGGGATTCTGAACCAACAACTCATGATACTATCCTAGCTCATACCCTATATTCATAGTAGGAAACATCATACTTCTACAGTGTTGTTCTTAATTTTCTGTTGGACACTAGTTTTTAGAAACTAGATTGAATTACATCTTCTTGCATTATGCTTGGGGCTGCTTCCTCTCTATCACATAGTTTGGTCTGTTTATTACATTGCCTTAATGAATGTTTTATGCTACATGCCAGGTCATAAACTACTCCTCTCCTACATCTGCTGGCGCTGAGTGCATTGATCCTGATTGTACGTGGGTGGAACAATGGTAAATGTCACGTAAACCTTTCTTAGGATATGTCTGAAACACGTCATAATGAATTAGAGAACGTTTGAGGTCTATAAGTTTTCTATCACAATTTCAGATAGAAAAAATGAAGGACATTGACTCTATTTTTCGGAACTTAATGATCAAATGAGGGGAAACCTGGAAACTGTGACTCACCAAAAGTAAATTGCACTGAAAGATTAATAAAAGATGAATTGTATGGGCCTTTCCATTGTGACATAAGGCTTCATTTGTGCATTGTATTTTTGTTTTTCTTACAAGGTGTAACTATGCCTATTTTAAAGGAATGAAACCTTCATATATTTGGATCCATTGAGTGGATCGACAACAGAAACGACATAATCATAATTTACAACCTCCTACCCACCATAGTTCTTTAGAGATATAGCCTAGTGTGACAGTGAATTCACTTCCTTATAGATTTTCATCTCTTTTACTAATTACTCAACGTAGCGGCAAACCCCTGAAACTCGTAAGTTGAAAATTGCGGAACAAAGTTTGGCATTATAGGGGTCAACTTTTTAATGAGGGGTCAACTTTTTAATGATTTGATATGATGACTTGATTCAGTAAACACTTGGTAGTTGCTCACAGAGCAATGATAGAACTTCTTGAACAAAGGCACTCCTAATCACCTGCAAATAAAAGCCACAACCTAGATGGGCAGGAGAAAAGGTTCACTAAACCAGATTGTTGCATTTTGTTGCATTTGAATTAAGTCTCATATTATTGTCAGAGCTTCATTGTTACATCGATATATATTTGTAGTTTTTTCATGTACTACTTTGTATTATTTGACAAATGAAAGCTGCAAAACTATCTAAAGTATATGGCCCTGAAATCTATCCAGGGTTCACCGTGCTGGTCCTCGGGAGAAAATATACTTCGAACCAGAAGATGTAAAAGCAGCAGTGGTAACTTGCGGGGGACTTTGCCCTGGTCTTAATGATGTAATCCGCCAGGTAGATGGTAAACCCAAATGTCATTGTGTTCGTAGAAAATAGTTTCTATATATCTACATCACACTTGAGACGTCTTTTAATGAAGTTGGCATGGTTACCAACTCTTGACCCGAATTGAAGAAGTTAGATCTTTACCTTTCTCATGTCTTTTTCTTGGTCACATAACAAGTGTATGTTCATATAGGCTTCACTTGACTTCTTTGATGGGTACCTAGTGCACTTTTATGATTAAAAAATGCAAATTACATAATTGCTAAAACAGTCATCTCTGGAAAAGCAAAGCACAGTTTAAATAGATGATTTCACAAGATTTAATGGAACTGTATCCATATTTAGTTACCATGAAAGCTTTTGCAAATATGCTTCTAAAAATCTAGAATTTCCTGATTGTGAATTATTTTTCTTGTGTGTTATGGCTGCAGATTGTTATCACCCTTGAAATATATGGTGTGAAAAAAATTGTGGGAATTCCTTTTGGTTATCGTGGATTCTCTGAGAAAGAATTAGCCGAAATCCCAGTGAGTTCCTTTTCTTTTCCTTGCAAGCATCTCTCTTGAGTGTCAATTGTGTAATGAGTTTCTCTTGCCTATCAGACATATCCATGTCAATATATATTCTCTTTGCTTTTTTTTTTTTTTTTTGTCTAAGTTGTTATGGGTTCAATATATGCTTTTTATGTCTGTTAATGGGATCATAGGTTGCCATGGTTTTTTTTCCCACTTAACTCTTCATGATATGTCCCTTCATGAACAATTCCTGGTCAATCTTTAGTCTACCGTGAGCATGTTTTGTTGGAATTTGGTGGAGGACCATTAACTATGGGAATGTCTCCATAAATAATGTACTGTATATCATGTAGCTAAGGATGTGTGTGATCATGTTGTGTTCGTTATAAGTTGCCACCAAATGTGTGTAGCTTGTACCTAGATAACCTTACAACCTCAATATATGAGTGTCATAAGATCCACTGGGTTCCTTGATCAGCATAACCATAGGGCAAGTCCTCCTTGTGCCTCTTGGGATTTTGGTGTCGAATCATAGAGGCCTGATCAGAGCTGGGTGTGCATAGATATAATTTTTTATGTTCCTTTATGAAAAGCAAAAAAATGACGATCATACTGCACAGCATATAGCTGACACCCCCCCCCCAAAAAAAAAAAAAAAACCCCCAAAAAAGGGCTAGCTGATACAAGGCTCATTGGTTCTAGGTTTCATCTATTTCTTTACGATATGAATGTTTCGTCTTTCTTTTACTATTGACGCTGTGTTTATTTGTTTAGAGTTGTCTCTGATTATCAGTTATCAAGGAAAGTGGTTCAAAATGTTCATCTTTCCGGTGGAAGTTTGTTAGGAGTTTCGCGCGGAGGACCTAATGTTAGTGAAATAGTGGACAGCATGGAGGTGATTGTTGATCTCTTTTCATTGGCAGACTTTGTGTTTTTCTATAGGGTTGCACTGATTTTTATACTGGTTTCAATAAACTGATGTCAGGAAAGAGGAATCAACATGCTTTTCGTGCTGGGTGGAAATGGTACACATGCTGGGGCCAATGCAATCCACAATGAGGTTGTTAAGACTAGCCATATGCTACATTGGGGCAGTATACTCTGTGATGTAATGTATTTTAATGTCAGTTTTCATGGGGATCTTTTTTGTGATAACATTTTCAAACCAATCCATTACTTCTCAATTTTGATGTTGTGGTGCATGTATTTCCCATTTTTTAGATATTTGGGATGGACGTGATTGTGAATGAACTATCATGTTTTGGCTGAATGTATCTTGAAGCATTCTTCATTTCCCACTTTTTAAATGAAAGTAATTTCTGTTTTTCTTTATGCACCAGTCAGGAACGCAGGATTCCATTGTCTCTTTCTTTCCATCAAGCTTTGGGTTCATGAATGCTTCTGGTTACTTCTAGCAGTTCATATATCATTTCCAAGTTCTAATATTCTTTTTGTTGCTGGTGTTTTAGTGCTGTAAAAGAAGGTTAAAGGTGGCTGTAGTTGGAGTGCCAAAAACCATAGACAATGATATTCTGCTGATGGATAAAACTTTTGGTTTTGATACTGCTGTGGAAGAAGCACAACGAGCTATTAATTCTGCATACATCGAGGTAGAAATAAGTTCTAATTTTTAGTGTTGAAGAACCTTCATGTTCTATATATATTTATTTCATTCATTTTATTACTTGCCAAATTGCAGTAGTGATTCATTCACTAGATCCATTTCCTAATATATTTTAATTGACTTGCTTTTCCCTATTTTATAACAGGCGCATAGTGCTTATCATGGCATTGGAGTTGTGAAATTGATGGGTCGTAGTAGTGGATTTATAGCTATGCATGCATCTCTTGCTAGCGGGCAGATTGATATATGTTTGATACCAGAGGTATTGTTACTGGTTATATAGAGGATTATATATATTAATATGAACAATGTATTAACACATTCTGTATCTTCACTTTCTAAGGTACCTTTTCATTTACATGGACCTCATAGTGTCCTGAATCATTTGAAGTATTTGCTTGAAACAAAGGGATCAGCTGTTGTATGTGTAGCAGAGGGAGCTGGGCAGGTGAGTTGAATTAAGTTCTTGTTTTTAGGCTTCGTACTGCAACCATATTGAAGTGAAGTATTTGTTTCTTAGCCTATTCTGTCTCCATATGAATTACCTATGACTTTTTGGAAGCCATATAGAAATGGTGCTTTATATTCATTGTTTTAAGTTTTCCCCGAAGAAAAGTACATGGGAAACCATTGTATTTGATATATTACCAATAGGGAGTCCATAATTGCTTTTAGGATTTTTCAAGTCCTTCTGTTGCAGAAGTGCAGAACTGATTTCCAGTGTTTTGACATAGGGATCTAGACAAGTGGAGCTGGGTTTTTTTTTTTTTTCCTGAGAAATACTAACAGGGCTCTGTTTTCTTGCTTTCTGGTCCAGAATTTTCTCCAGAAAACTAATGCCAAGGATGCATCAGGAAACATTGTACTTGGAGACATTGGTGTACATATACAACTAGAGGTTAGAGTTTATGATCTTGATATTGATTATTGCTTACAGTAACCTAATAATTTGTTGGTATGGTCTCTGTTGAACAGTTTTAGTTATTTAATTTAACTTTTTGAGCCAAAGTTGAATTAGGGTTGTAAAAAAGTAATTTTTTTCTTTCTTTTTCTCTTCTTTTTGTTCTCTCTCTCTCCATTTTTGTTTTCTTTCTCTTTTTTTTTTTTCCTTTTTAAAGTGCTGGAGCGTTCAGATGTGAATAAAGCTTCTACCCACCAGGGTTTTGAATTCTATCACAATGCTAAATTTCTTATCCTTCAGTGCTTTATATTATATCAATAAATTGACACAGATTTTAGGCGACATATAACTAGCTTGATTTGAAGAATAGGGCCTGACCTGGTGTCATCTTGCATGTAGTTCCTTTACAAACCATCATCTAACAGAAGTTTTCAGTGAGTCAAAATTAATTTAACCCCGTATGATGTTGATTAGCACTTTAAGGTCAGTGATGGACTGCAATGCTACAACAGACAGTATTTGAAAGAAAGATATGGAGATTTCCTTGTGGAAAAACCTTGGGAAAAGGGTACTGATATGGCAAAGATATTTTATAACATTTCTATGCTATGTATTTTATACATCAGGCAGTTTGTTGAGAATGAACAGAACTTCTGCTGATAACACTTGAAGGAAGCAGTGTCTGGCAAAAATGTACTGTGCCAGTTATCCCACAACAGGGTGAACAGCGGAAATAAAAAGCTTGCTAACCTGTGGTATCTTATTACTCTCATAAAACCATAGAAGATTAAATTCTTGCTCACCTTTAATACTTTGTAATTTTAAAAACTTCTCAAGTCATTTAATAAATGGCACACTTCAATTCAGTATTCTGGATGATTCATTGGTTTATACATTTTTGGGCTCACCAAATCTGTTACTGATTCAATTTACATACTTTCCTGTTAGACAAAAAAATACTTCAAAGAGATTGGTGTCCCAGCTGATGTAAAATTCATCGATCCTACATACATGATCCGTGCTTGTCGTGCAAATGCATCAGATGGAATCCTTTGTGCTGTACTGGGTCAAAATGCTGTAAGTATCTCATGCTCACATATTCTGGCTCTTTGTTGACATAGAGTGAAATGGATCCTTAGTTTTGTGGGGTTTGCTTCATGAAAATTATCTACAAATGTAACCTTCCTACAGCAACTTTCTGCTCTCTCAGTTGCGCTGTTCATTTTCTTAATCACTTTAGTAGATTTACAATCAAAATCAGTTTGGTTCGGGTATCTCTGGTAAATATAGTTTCAACGTAAACACTTGGTTTCGACAGGTTCATGGTGCATTTGCTGGATACAGTGGCATCACGGTCGGTATATGCAATACTCACTACGTCTACCTTCCCATTCCTGAAGTCATTTCTTACCCCCGAGTTGTGGACCCTAATAGCCGTATGTGGCATCGTTGCTTGACTTCAACAGGGCAACCGGACTTTCTCTAATTAAACATGCATTTTAATGTTTCCTTGACAAGTGCAAGATTTATTGTAGGGAAGATCGAAGTAAAGAAAGCCAGCTTCAGAAAGTTTCTATTTTTTTCACCCAATGTTGTAGAAGAAATAACACACGTACTGCACCATTTTTTGTTAGGTTTATAGCATTACAGTGCCAATTCCCACGGCATGTCATAATAAAACATCGCGAAGCGATAACTTTTTGAGTTCTTTTTCAGCTCATATGTATCTGAGAATTATATTTCCGAGATACAGAAGGTATGAACAAGACAATCCAATTGAATTCGTATATGAAATTTTCGGTAGTATTTTTATGATTTTGATTTCGGATTTTCCAATATTTGAATGAATTTTAAGCAGCTAAAGGCAAATCTATATTTGTAATAACACATCATATTTAATGATGCACAAAATACGTAAATGCACAATTAACAGTTGAGTGTATGATGATTAATAAAATAATCAATAAAGCAATTAATGAATAAGACAAATATTTAACCAACACAAGTAACTCACATATGTATAGTGGTTCAGTCAAGGTGATCTACTCTATTTTAGTTCTCCGGGAAGGATAGGTACAACTAAAGATAAGTACACTTAAATATAATTTTGATCTTCGAGTAGTGATTATCTTGATTCTTACTCTCCATGTGTGTTGATTTTCTTGAACTCTTTGAATTTTAGATTGGGTTAAATTTATGAGCTGGACTTGACATGTTTTTTAACTGATTTGGGCTTACCCATGAATTGGCTTGGACCCGACTATATCTAGGCTCATCAATATTCATCTTTGATTCATTTATTTTTTTTTTTATCATATCTACCTTTATTTGAATTGATATCGAGCTGGTATGATGTGCAGGATTGCTTTTAAGCACGATCAGATTGTTGTTATTATTTAATGAAGTTTCAACAACGCAAGGCAGTTTATTGAAAAGCTGTTACCCAGTAGAATGTACCAACGTGTGAATTCGATCGATGCGACGATGAAATATAGTTCTACTTAGAATTTTACAGATTAGAAATTTTATTTTTAATGGACTCTAGTATGGATTGTGAATTTTAAATTAGTTTGATATAGCGTATGATTGAAATGAATAATAAAAACAGACTTATATAACGGATCTTAAATGATTTGAACATAAGATTTAGTTTAGTTTAATTTAGTTATTCGGCTGGAATTTGAATTCAAGTTTTGAAATTGGATTCAGATTGGTCGAAATCCGGTTTATTGACATGCATAGGATAAATTCTCATGTAAATGGTTCCAAATTCGGATTCAATTCAGAATCACCAACTTTATAAAATGGGGTTTTTTTTTTTCAGTGTTTAGATTAGTTCACGTGTAGCTCGACTAATTTTCACCCCAATTCGATGACCATTCACGCCATGACTAGAAAATTCATGAAAAATGAATTCATCATGTCTTAATCTTAAGAGATTGTTAAAATTTAAACTCATAACATTTGAATTCATGAAGGATACAATGGACTTTCAAGCAACGTTGATAAAATCGCTAATGGCTATTGTCAGGGGTGTTCACCCTATCCTACGGGTAAGAAATATAGTCTTTCGTCTTCCTATCCAATATTTTGTGAAAGAATTTTTTCTTAACCTATCCTACCTGATCAGGTGTGATATTCCTACCCGATTAATCGGGTAGAAAGTTGGGTAAAAAGTCGGATAAACACTGCACATGAGAGGGCATATTGAAGTATAAACATTAAAGTTATATTCTCTCTAATAATTTAAATTATTACAGTAAATAGTGATTTAATAACAAAATTAAAAAAAATAACAAATTAAGTTTGAACAAGATGTTAATGTTGGTCATAATTCCAAACACTAGTTGCAAATATGCGAGTCATAGTGCTTGATTCAGTGCGATTCATTTAGACCATTGGAGTGATCTTAAGAAGGTGTTGTGTGTGTGTGTGTGTGTGTGAGAGAGAGAGAGAGAGAGAGAGAGTTGATAATTAATTATAAATTTTTGTTCTGGGAAGGAGGTGAATGTGATGGGCTTTTTACAGTTTCAAGACACTTGTATTGTGTTTCCTAGAATTGATTCATGCATGTGTGTGTGTGTGTGTGTGTTATTGGGATCATAGCTACTAGTACAGTGAGCTATGATGGCTAAAATTATTATAATCCATTTGACCATGCTTAGCTGTTATTGTGCAGTCAAGGTAACATTTTCTATCACTGTCTCTCTTCTGAGTTAGTGCACAAGTTGTATACCATAGTAAAGGCAATGTTACTTACATTGTATGCTTTTTCTTTTCTTTTTGTTTTGATCTGAGTTGCCTAAAGTACTGAAAATGTATCGATATTTATTGTATTTATAGATATTTTTATTATTATAGCGAGTATTTTTATTATTGTTGTGGTACCGCATAAGAGTTGCAAAAATAATTACCATAATAATAATAAAAACACCAACAAATGTGATAAATTACTCACAAAAATGATAATTTTTTTGGTACTAAAGAAAAATAATTATTAAAACAATGATAAAAAAACTCATAATAGTGATAAAAATATATAAAAAAGTGATAATTTTTTTAATTATAAAAATAACTATTATTATAATAAATTTTAGATGTACGGTATCAAAAAAAATTTTGGTACCGTAATAGTCCCATTTATAAAATCTTACCACTTAGTATGGGTGTGTGTTAGAGCGAGAGAGGGGGGAGTTAGGGGCGGCATGTTCGGGATTCCAATTTTTCTTATTTCTTTTGGTACATTTGATGGGGGAATAATTCCATAAAATTTTTTGCATCCTAGTTGATTGGGGTATGTGTTGGATCACGGATTAAAAGAGGATAATTGGTAGAATAAGAAAACAAAAAATGAAAAATTATGAATAGGTATATTTTAAACTACTTAATTGTGAGAAAATATCTTTACAAAAATTTTTTGTAAATAAATATCATTTGCTTAAAATGTATTGTAGTTAAGTATTCATTGGTGAATATTCAAATATATGTTTCACTAAAATACATTTTTCCTTATTTGAAGACCTATTAGTTTTAGAGTCTCATTTTTAATGGGATTTGATTTATTATATTAATTGTTTCATATTTTAAGGAATTGAATATATTTAAAATTCAAAATTATATCATATGGAATATACCTTAACAACTTGGCTTAGATTTTGAAATTTATTTTTGTATACTATTTTTTAATGTTAAACAGTTATGGTTGTTCTCAAATCTAACAACAATGTCATTTTGTAATGTCCACTATTATGTAACATTGTCATTCATTAAATGTAATATATATAGATGTCATATTATATGATGCATACTATTTAGATTGTGTATGAATCAGTAAATGTAATTTCATAATTTTATTTGTCGATGATTAAAACGTTAATGAAGGTATTACACAATCGTGTATCACTGTAATGTCACATTATCGACAATTTGAATCGAAACAAAAGAAAGATTGGTATTCAATTATGTTTCAACGTTAGTGTTTATTTTATTTTTTTTGAAAATTGAAGGATTTTGTAGTAGATTTTTTTAAAAAAATTTTGAAAACCTTTGTTTTGAGGGATATAGCAGTTGTCGAATTTAATAGGATTGTTACATGATTTATGACAATTTTCTTACTTTTTGTGCCATATAGTTGTTACCTCATTGACATTTCTGTCATAAAAAAAATTATTTCTATACAAAATATTTTGTACTGAGTACTTTTTTGCAATTAAGTAGTAAATTAAATAATGATTCATAAAAAAATATGTGGGGGTCATATATCCCACATTTGGAATGTAAGAAATACATCAAAAATTTCATTTGGATTTTATCCCAACCCAATTTAAAAGGTTAATTTTAATCAATCTACATGGGTTAAATGAAACCCAGGGGAGTTGGAATTTTTTTTGCTAGAGAGGATAACTAATGCAAATGACTGAATTATCATGTCCTCTTCTTTCTCTCTTTCATTTACTTTGTCTCCTTCTGCTATTTTTTCACAGATTTGATTTTTTTTTCAACACTGAAAATAAGGTTCAATCAACATATTTCGAGAAGACCAAAATGTCTTTTTTGACAAGACAACGAATTTAAATAATAAACTAATTCTAATAAAATAATATTTTGTTTGGACTAAGATTAATTAATAACTAATAATAAAATAACTAATTTATAAGAGCTTTAGTTAATTATCAATTGTTCTCGTAACATATAAACACTCATCTAGAAAATATGAAATTACAACATTCTTAAAAATTACATCTAAAAAAAAATTGTTTGGAATTGATAAAAAACTAATTTATAAACCAAACATAATATTGGATTCGATAGATTAGGGGCAAAGCATTCAATGATATCATATTCCATCATTTGTGTCCATGGATCCCACATAAGTGTTTATATATTATCTAAACACTAAAAATGATAAGATATAGCTATTAAATCATAACCAATTTAATGATAATTGAGTTTGAATTAGATAAAAAAAAATATTTTTTTAGATGTCCAATTCAATTGAACCTTGTCATCCAAACAAACCTTTCATTGTCAATTAAATGACAAGATATAAAGTTACACGTCTTAAAATTGAGAGTTCTTAAAATTCGATTGTTCATCGTTCTTTTGGTCTCATATTTTTTTCTCTTAGTAACTTAATTTTATATATTTATTTATTTATTTTGCATTCTATAATTTGATCTAAAATAAATCAAAATATTATAAATGTAAATTGTAATGTCATTTTTTAGGGAGAATTATACACAGATCTCCTGAAATTTGTATGTGCATAACACTTATACCCCTATCGTTCGCGGTTAATATTCGTTAGTAAATTATACCCAGACCCCCTGAAATTTATAGACATATAATACTTGAACTTTTCAAGTTTAAAATGTTATACTTATACTAAAAATACTTCAATTAAAAATAGAATATCAAATATTTTAAATTTTATAATCAAAATTCATATTTTATTATGACATTTATTGAAATAAAATCAAAAATAAAAATTTATTTTTTTCTTAAAAAATTATAATTAGTATACAATTATACTACCTATTAAAATTTAATTTGGTCATTTAAATAACCAAATTTAAACTACCAAATTACTCAAATTAAAGTTAGAAGATATTGTATCAATTATATTTTGATCCCTTGTTTAATTTTTTAGTTTTATTCTAATAGATAGTATAATTGTTTACTAATTATATATTTTTAAGAAAAAATTAGATTTTTTTAAATATTATTTCAATAAATGAGATAATAGAACATGAATTTTGGCTGTAAAATTTATGTTTTATTAGGAATGACTTAGATTGGTGTTTGATTTTTTACTTTTATTCCAATGATAGTATAATTCTATACAAATTATAATTTTTTTAGAAAAAAATTAGATTTTAATTTTTAATTTTTAATTTTAGTCAAATAAATAATATAATAAAACAAGAATTTTGGTTATAAAATTTAAAATATTTGATAGTCCATTTTTAATTGAAATATTTATAATCTAAGTATAATATTTTAAATTTGAGGAGTCTAAGTATTATACTCTTATGAACCTTAAAAAGTCTGAATGTAATTTCCTAACACATATAATAACGGACATGGATGTAAGTGTCAAGTGCATTCAAATTTCAGAGAGTTTATATATAATATTTCAAATGTTAAGGATTTTAATTGTTTAAGTGACAAATCTCGAAAGTCCATGATTAATTTTTTATTTTTTTATTATAATTTTCGATGCACATAGCAGATAAAAAATCCCAGATGTTGACCAGTCACACAGGTAGTGACAAACACAAACCTCGGGGCCCCAGATTGGCTGTCTCTGCTTGTAATCCAAAAAAGAGCTCGAGTAACAATTTTAACGACGTCGTTTATATAAAGAGTCATACACTTACGATGTCGTTTTCCGGGTCCAGACGGTTCAATCATGCTTTGCTCATCATAGTTGTCTTTGATATGAGAGTGTATCTCGGGCCGGTTGAGAGGTCAACTTTAAATATATAATTTTCAATTTTAATCCTACCACAATATGAGCTATTTAACTCAAGTACTGTCCGAGTTGAATTCGAGCGAGCTCAGGTTGAATTCGGGTTACTTAATTCAGACTGATTTCGGGTTAAAAATTGGATTGATTTGAGTTACTTAATTCGAGTTAATTTTTTGAAGTGTAGATTTGATTTTTTCAAGTGATCTGAGATGAAGGGCGAAGCGCAGATGAAGAGAGAGAGTGAGAGAATAAGGAATGATGAGTGAGAGAGGGAGGCTAAGAGTTTGAGACGACTCAGACGAGTGACGATTAAGAGAGGGAGGCTGAGAGAGGAAGGAGTGACGAATGAGATAAGGATTTAAGAGTGATGGAAACGCAGGAGTGAAAATTTTGATTCTAAAGAGTGAAAATAAATATTAATCCTAGTTAAATATATTTATATATTTATGTATATTTGAGTTCAACCAGATTTAATAATCAGGTTCAACCCTATTTTAATATTCGCGTTGAACCCTACAACTTGAGGTCTCAACTCGAGGCTTGTCCAAATTCAATTCGAGTTGGAGTTTTTTTGCTCAGAACCAACTCAAGTATTAAAAATTCTAACTCAAGCCCTATATTTTTCGAGTTGGACTTGTATTGAATTCGAGTTGACCCGTCCAAGTTACACCTCTACTTTGATCACACAATCACCCTTCAACCAACATGTACTCCAATATACATATTTTTTATGTTTTTTCTTCTTAAATATGTATTATTGAAAGACTCACTTATATCACTTAAACTCATGATAAATAATTTATATATATATAATAAATCTCACTCGTTCAAGGGTGAAAGTTGAAAATGCCCGACAAGGTGATATGACTCAGACATAGAATACTATACATTCTCAATGAATTGCCACTACTTGTTAATTTATCAAAAATTTTATAAAAGAAAACATCGTCAATCTGATAAATTAGTGTTATGATAATTTTTTATTAAGTGTGTACACCACGTAGCTATGTCACGTTGAAATTTTTTTCCTAAGGGTTTGTTTATAAGAGTACCTTAATTATGACAGATAAAAGAGAACTATCATTTGCTTAACAATTGGTTGCAAAAAGGGCTTGGTAGATGCTGGCCTGAATTTCATTGAAGAACATAAAAACAAATAAAAAATAATCATAAATCTCCTCATCACTTTTATCTCCACCTCTTTTTTTCTCCTATTTTTCCTTTTCCTTTTTCTTTTGGTAGCTACAACAAAACCTGTGTTTTTTTTCTAGCCATAACATGTGGATCTCCCAAATTTTTGTCCTCCACCACCTTTCTATTACTATGGTGGTTGACAACTCTGATTATTCACAGCTGGTAACCATTCTTTTCATGCTAAAGCCTTGAGGCCTCTCTCTCTCTCTCTCTGAAATTCACATTTCATGACTTGAAGTCATCTTCTTGAAAGGGTCTGTCAAGTTTTCTCCTTTTAGTGTCTGGACTAGTGTGTGAAGAATTTGGGCATGACCCAACTGTTCTCTCATCACTTTTATAGCTCAAGCATGCAGCAGCATCCAACACCCCACTTGGGCTCTGGGGTACTGATGGAACTGAGGCATTAGCCACATTTGTAGACCCACTAATCAATGCCAAATCTTGTATCAGTTCAAGACATTTCAACACTCTGCCCTGTAAATCCATCCAGCAAACAACAAAGTCATAATTCATAAATTAGTTCACCAACTTGGTGCAGATGTGGGAAAAATTAAAATCCCAAAAGGTTAATCTTCAGTACTGTATTGAAAACAAAAGGTGGGTTACGATTCAATTTACCAAAGCATTGACAAAATAGGGTTTTTTAGCATCAATCATAAATAAAATATTATGATCGATCACAATGTTTAGGAATGACCATAATATTGTAGGATCAATATATTTTTTTAACGATGACTTAATCTTTTAGGGTTGTAACATGACCTAAATTAAGTGATAGCTAAGCTTTATTTTGTAATAGCTTTGGGTACAATACTAAGGTCTGTACCGTAGTCTTTCCTTGGAATTTATAAAGATAAGAGCAAAAGAAAATTTGTCTTGTCTAGAAAATATGTCTGTGGGCACCACTAAGAGTTACCTCCTCCACATGTATGAAACAAGGCAGTGCCTTATCAATGTCTATCACTTGTATTTCTCTTGAAACACACATTGCCACAGCTGCAGCAATTTCAGAAGGTCTGAATTCCAAGAAGTCAATGCCTGCATTCAATTCCCACCAAGCCCTGGAAGATTTTAGGACCAAATAGTACAATAATATCAATGCATGACAAACATAAGATTCAAGAAAGACCTTTGATTGTGGTTAAGATGAGTTGAACTGATCTAGAAACTAACAGTCCTGATGGAATTTGATCGCCATTGATCTTTCTAAGAAAATAGTCAATGAAGGAACAGGGAGTGCAACCCTGCATTCTCCACCTCAAGGTGCTCAACACCAGAAGTTCCATTCTCTGTATTGTTTTACCTTCAAATACAAACTTGGGATCTCCCACCTAAACCCACATCACCAAAGGAATCAGATTGAAATAAGCAGAAAAGGTGTAAAAGAAATTCAGAAATTATCAAACACCTAATGCAAAACCTATAAACCAATGAAAAGAGTGATTCAAACACCTAAGATCAGATGTACGCAACCTTTCCCCGCCTGGGGCGAGGCTGTTTCAACAATAACTACAAATTATTCTTGCTGCTAATTTGCTTCACCTGTAAATCCACAGTGAGAGGCACTTCTATCTCCTCTACTTTGGTTGATAGTGACAAACAGGCCACAGCTACCAATTGTGATGTCCAAATTTTACCTTTCTATGCACACAAGAACAAAGGGACAACCAATAATAGAGACAATCAGCATTGTAAAACAACATATCAAAGGAAAGGGAAAGAGAATAATACTTGGTTCTCTGTTCTAAACTTACAGGCAGATCATAAACTGATAGGAATCTGTCCAAGTAATTCATGGACAGACAAAAACTTAATGCTCCAAAACTGTAATGAGCATGAGCCTGTTGAGCACACAACATGAAAGCAATATTAGAATTAATGAAGGCAACTACTTTATAAGACAATTTCAACCAAAAAAAAAAAAATTTGAGGAAACCATTGAGCATAAATCACAAAGAAATGCATGGGAAAACATAAAAAGGAAAAACAGAATCCAATTTAAGAAAGCAACCCAGATGCCTCAGCAAGGCAGCAACTAGTCAAAAGAGAAGTAACTAAAGATAAGTTCAAAAGATAAATATGAATACTATCAATCCATCATTATCTCAACATGCCTACCATTTAATACTAACTGAATTAATCATGAAAAGGAAAAACTCACCAAGAGGGGAAAAACCCAGATTGAGAAATGAATTGAAACTCAATGAGAAAATCAAACCTGTTCTTTTAAACCATTTTAAGTTAAAAAAAACAGCATTTACCAAAGGACAGAGATTGTGACGAATCTAAACCAAAAACAATGTTGATCAATGAGGGATGAAATCTAAGACCCATTTGCCCAAACATTATCTACTAGCACAAAAATTTGTGAAAAAGGCAATATAACCAAAGAAAATCCATTAAGAATTGATTTAACAAGCACAACCAATAAATCCGTTTGAGAAAACTAATCAACCCACCTTCAAAATCCATTCAAGTGCCTCTCTTCTCACACTCAAATCCAACTCCCCACTTCTCAATCTCTTGAGATAATCATCTTTGGGCAAATGCTCTTTTTCTCTCTCAACCATCAAACCAAAACTCTCTTCACTTAAAGATGGCAAAACAATCAATGGGTCTGATCTAGCATTGGTAAAGTCCAAGTTTTGATAGTTGGTTTGATGGGTTTGGTTATCTGTGGCTACAGAATCAAGATCGTCAAAACACAAGTTTTCACTTTCTGTACATAAAAGGTTTGAGGCTTCAGAGACAAAACTATGGTCTGCCATTGAAACAAACCTCAATGTGCTCTGTAAAACCCTACCAAAATCTTATGACAATGAGATTGGTGAAGAAGATTATAACAGATTCTTGCATGTAAAGGTCAGCATTTTGATTTACAATGGCTCTGGAAGATTTATATGTGTGAAACAAGGCCTAGACAGAGAGTGTGTGTAGAGATAGAAGAGAGAGCGAGGTGGGGTTGGTGATACTGTTGCAAAGAGAAGAGCTTTATGTAGGAAATGGACATTTGTGATTAGGGTAAGACGGTTAGACAGAGATTGAAGGAGAGAAGGCCGTGACCCGTGGATTCTTAGATACGGAAAAAGAAAGTAAAGAAAAAAAAAAAAAACAAAATAAAAACCAAAAATATATGAGTGCAGTGTGGAGACGAAAATACACTCATCATTATCGTGTCATGATTATTGTATAGTATCATTAATGAATAAGAATACATTCACGTAAAATAAGTAAAACTCACTATTTTAGTAACTTCTCGTAATCACTCTATTGAAACTCACTATTTTAGTAATTTCTCGTAATCATTCTATTGACTAACTAACATCTTAGAATAGTGGGGTACACTTTTTTTACATGGTATACTTTTATTAATTAATGATACCATATAATATCGATGACATAATATCTCCGTTGTGATGAATATTTTACGAAAGTATATGAAGAAATGAACCTGTATTTTAGAAAACAAATAAAACATTTCTATTATTTTCTATTTTTGCTAGAGAAACAATTCTATTTTTTATTTTCTATTTCTAGACAACCTACATTGAGGCCAGAGAGGACTCTGTAATTTGGGAAGGTTGGTGGGGTAGTCAAAGGAGAGCGAACTGACCAGAGTGGGTGAGTGCGAGTGATGCTGAAATTATGATTCTAATTAATTGGGAAATATTTCATATTAAATTGTTGAACTTATGGATGAGGATTAGACTTCAATACCATATTATATGTTTTTGGCCAATTGCAAAATAACACTTATAAAAATTTATAATTTTTTTTACTTTTATTATTTTCATACTCTATGACTATAAAAATCTCAAAACAAAATTATGTCTTACACTCTTTGAGTCATTTTTTTGTACATAAAAAGACGTCCTAAATTTGAATTTGTGTAACTCATTGGAGTTAGGTTATGAAATATTTATCCCTCATAAATACCTTAGTCCTGACATAGATGATTTGACTTTGACCAGACTGAGGAAGAAATTAATCAGGATACACGTAAACTGGTTTGAATACTCATAACTATTGAATTAAAAAAATATGAATGATAGTAAATTGTGTTGTGAATGAACTTCCACTAAATTGTGATCTAGTGGATCTATGTTTGTTTTTCACTAACCTACAAATGTTTGTCATGATTTTCAATATGTCTCACTCATTTACTTATTCTTTCTTTTTGTTTTTTTTCCTTTTCTTTTTCTATTGTAACGCACTAGATTTTTGTTTATAATTTTGAGTTATAGCACAACGAAGCTGTAACTCATTGTTACTACTTTAATTAAAAGGTAGTTTGAATATTTTCAAATGATAAAGTAATGAAGAGAATTAACTGAAAAAAAAAATAACGAAAAGAGAACATGATTATGAAATTGCATAAATCTCATACGATTGTAAATGAGTCCAACCCTTACTACTTTATTGCGGATTATATGACTTAATACCTGTCTTTTTCATTGACATTTTTTGGCAGATTAATAGGATTTTTAAAAAAAACATAATTAGTAGGAAATTAGAAATTAAGCATGACTGTTATTTGATATAAGTATGAAATGATACGATTTAATAATACAAATATTAAAAAATTCAAATCAGAGTTCAAAATTAAATAATTCAATTTTGATATGTGATTCCCATTTTACTGGTATTATATGCGAAAATATGATTTATTTATTTATATTGACTAATATTATATGAATTCTTTTAAGGTTATTTAGAAGATTTTTTTTAACTTGATTTTGCTTAAATTTGAATGGAAAAATTAGAAGGGATACACCAAATTGAAATTATAAAAAAGTACATAGAAAAAAAATTTAGGATAAAAAAGTCATTTACTTTGATACTTATTTGTTCACATGAGTGGGATTATACTTGTTCCCAATTATAGTGAATTTGCGGTGAAAGGGAGAAGGAAAGGGAGGGAGGCATAGTACATCAAAGTTTGGAATTAGTGCTAACAACCGGTTTCTAAGTCGCATATAATTGGGTCGGAAGATATTTATATCCACTCGTTTATTAAATACGCCAACCTTAGCATGACAAGACCCATTAAAGACTAATCTTATTTGTGCACAGCAACTTTGTGTTGATTCTGTATCCAATGAACAAATCTTTTTAAGAATTTTGCCAATCCTAATTTGGGCCTTAAGGTTCATGAAAATATCAGGCAAAGTTTATACCATAGTGGTGACACTAGTACTTAATATTTTGCACCAAACACCAAAACAAAAAAGGAGGAAAAAAAAAAGGATAGGTTAATGCAAGTGTAACGCGCACGTATAATGCACGTGCGTGTACCAACTAATATATATATATATATATATATATATATATATATATATATTAATCATGGCAAATCACGTGTAGTTACAAACTTCAATGGCAGCCTTCGCTGCTCACTTCATGTAAGAGATGGTTTGGGTGGGTGCACACACGGACAAATCTAAGTTCAATCGATGCATGTTTTTGGGAAACTCTTATGAGACATCTTATGTTTCCGTTGCAACTATGAATTCAATAAATACGTAGTTGTGACAATTTTTGTTGGAAAATGCCCTTCTTGGATATGCATGCGCATGAAAGGGTGGTCAAAGCTGAGTCTTTTATATGCTTCTTTGATTTGAGCTCTTGAAGAGTGCCCTTCAATCCCTCCTCACATCCCATTTTCTCTCTCTAAAAATCTCTCTTTTTCAATCTACAACACTATTCCTCGACATCACAAATATTCAAAACATCGGATAATAATTCTATATGCACCAAGAGTGTGCATCAAATTATTGTCAACTGTTGGATGATAGTGGGCTCCACTGATCCAACAGCTGACAATGATTTAGTGTACAAATTTAGTGTGCATGGCATTGCTCTAAGAATATCAGCCATATATAGCTTTTGCTTCTCTACGCTAAGCACTGATGATATATATATATATATATATAAAATTGAAATCTTTTGGTGTACCTACATTGGCTTCATTTGTCTCCCTCCTTTGCTAACACTTGCTAATTGTAAATTCCAAACCCTTAAGGAGAAAACAATTTAGTATTATAGCTCTAGGATAAAGTTATGGTATCCCAAAATATTTTTCGATTCCAAAACAAATATTGAACTTTAACCGTAGTTGTTGCTTTGGTTTATTCGTGGCTTAAAAGCAAAATTACTTTGCTACCACGTATCTTGTTCTTATTGGTAGAGAAAAAGAAATGATATGTTTTTTAGTGCCTAGGACCTCATAGTCTATGTGTCTAGTGATGTAAAAGTTTTGGCTATTGTCTCAGTAGTGAATCTTGCTAAATCAGAATAGCACTTCGCAATCCTCACACCCTTCTTAACAAACAATTTCTAATTAAGCATATTAAGAAATTGTCCCATGACCAAGCCAAATGGTCTGGGAGTTAATTGTGATAGTGTATGTGACTTTCACTCATCTGTATATTAGCTCATTTATCTTCCCCATTGGAGAGAGGTGGGGGCATAAAGAATATAAAATAGAGTGCACTTACACCACAAATATAATCAGTTATTTTCAAACAACTCATTTACTATGTATTATTTGACTGACTAATCCATTATATTAGAATTGGCAAAGAGTCAAATGTTTTGGTAATTCCTCATGCAGGGATCAATTAAGAGAATTTTGAATCAGAAATGGCTAATGCATTATGAAATCAATGAGAGGGTTCAAGCATTTCTCCTAGACAACCAAACAACACCAATTCAATAGATCAGTATCATCCGATTTGTTTGCCAGGGCAGTAGGCCCGTGAACTGGAACCCTCTTCCGGCATGTGCAATGTTGGTTTAGTCTCACCCCATAAATCTGTTCTCCCTCCTTGACACCCGTAATGACCTTTGGAAAAAAAAAAAAAGGTACTTTCGGTTATTTTTATAAATTTTAGATGACTTTCACGTCGAATTGTAGGGCTAACTGCTGAAATTTGGGCAGAAAATCAGTTTACCCATTCAAAAAAATAGATTGAAAATTTCACTAGAATGCAGATCATGGAGAGAATGAGGAGGCTATTTTCAGTTTCATGACCTCATGGTCAATTTGTCAAAAGGAAGATGGCTTCTTTACAGATTCATGACCTCATGTTCAAAGCTTTATTGTTTGGAAGAGGAAATTGTTGGACTGGTTGATGCCACCAGGAAACCACTGAAATCATTAGAATTCCCATACCAAATTTAAGTATCAATAATATAATTACATGTTATAAAACTTTTACACATACAGATTATAGACAAGTTATGACATTGAAGCCCCACTTCCATCAAGGAGCAGATTGATCCAGCAGCTCAAGCCTCATCTATTTGCTCCTGCATGAACCCCAACAGAGGTACAGCTTAGTTAAATGCGTTCAGACTGGCATGGGTTCAGAAGCTATGCCAATTCCATTTACAGATACTATGGGCTCACATGACAAAACAAAGGCCCAAAGCTAAAGGGAAAATACAAAGACTAGAAAGAGAGGTCTAGTGCAAGAGACTCCCGCCACTGCAGAGACGAAGTCTAAAGAGGGTTAGATGTACTTAACCTTAACAGATAGCATGCTGAGAGGCTATTTTTGCAATTCAAAACCTTGATGCCCAGGTAACCACCTTTCCGATGCACCAAGGTCCATTCCTCAAAAATTAGCATGAAAAAATGACTAGATTATGCATTCCACAGAAAATAATGGGATGTTGGCCATTTTTTTAGGACAAGAAGATGTAACAATTCCAACACTTTCTTCTCTGCTCAAACACTGATTGGCAACTAAAGCACATGAATAGAGTTAATAAAATCACTATTGATTACTTTTAGGGAGAAAACTTTCATACTGCAAATTCAGATTCTAATAGCATTTCATAGACAGTTCCAGGATCTATCCAATGTATCAATTTTCTAGAAGTATATGCTTTTATGTGTATTACTATCCTAAAGAATATGTGTAAAAAAAAGGCCCTACATAATCAAGCAAATGCCACCTAATTAGAATAACTATCTACCTGCATATCCGAAGTCCAAAGAGTGAGATTGTCCCTCAGGAGTTGCATTATGAGAGTGCTATCCTTGTAGGACTCCTCCCCCAAAGTGTCCAGCTCTGCAATTGCTTCTTCAAAGGCCTGCAAATAAACATAAATGATATGAGCCCAGGCACAACAGTATGAATAAGATATAATCTACATCACTTATCATTATGAAAAATGGTTGTCTGGCAATGCATGAGGACATAGCTATAAATGTGTGATTTGTGTATTAACAATGTTGACATTTGTTTTTGTTTTACCTCCACCTTATAACATAGATTCAGGGGCACCACAGAGCAAGAAGGCGCAAAATGAAACATACTTTATTTCGTTTGATGGCTAATTTAGGTTCAACTATAGAATGGTTTCTTGATTTGCATTTAATATACATAGGTTGGCAACCGGAACTTGTTTCTGTTCTTCCCACTTATGAAATGCAATTTCACTTGAAATAGGAGGTTTTAATCTTACACGTGACCATGACACGTGATATATAAGTTATAACCTATCATTTACAACTTTACATAACTTTTGATGGGCACGAGTCCAACTGAATAATGTTTTATGGTTACATCCACTGTTGCTTTGTGTTTTTTGCTTGCGTCCTTTGGTTGCTACAATGGATGTTATCGGCTATATAGCAGTAAACACGAATTCCTTTATTCAATATTGTTTTCATCCCTTGCCTTTGTTAGTTCTTCTATTTCCTCATTGGCTAGCAAAGGACAATTATTTTCTCTTTCATAGAGATCTTAAGAAGAAAGAAAGAAACATATAAGCATGTGTTTAAGAGCAGAAAGTATGAGCAGACCTGTTTTGCCATGCTACAAGCTTTCTCTGATGCATTAAGAATCTCAAAGTAGAAAACTGAGAAGTTGAGTGCTAACCCCAACCTTATAGGATGTGTTGGAGCAAGATTGACAAGAGCAATATCCTGTATGACAAGAAATGAATAGAAATGGTTGTCAATAGCACTTCACGTGGTTTTAATCATTCGTGGATGATATCACCAGAGGTGATTGTTATACCCTCCAAAAAGGAAAGCACCATTGTCTTCCCCCAATGCAATTCCCACATGCAAGAACAACCTCTAAATAGTCAAATGTGTGTGTATGTGTGTGTCTGAGAGAGAGATCCAGACATTAAAACATCTGAGCAGAAGAAGCAGGGCAAGCCAGGTGATGGTCAATAATAACCCAGGCTGGAACTGCTGAGAAGTGGCTAACAATGCAAAAGCTCTTTTCCCCTTATACGCTCTCAAAGAAGGGTATGATAGAAGATATATGAATGGCTTCAAAGCAGCAGAGATGATTATCCAGTATTGTTTATAAAATTATAGTCATGGAGCCGAACAAAGTTCTTACATTGAAAAGGGTAAAAAATTGGCAATCAATGGAACTGGGAGAATACTAATCTATACTTGAACTAAAGCCTATTTTCATTGCTCAAACATCCAATTTCAGTATCCACTAGATTACATCATTAAATCATCCTCTTTGTCATGAACCTTACAAACAACTATGATAATTCTTATAAACATCATAGCACAGTCTCATACACAATAATACCTCACTTCAGGTGATGACTAACACTTCTTACACTTGTTTGGGTCTCCGAAAAATAATCTTGTTAAAAAATTACAATTTTTTTTCAATTCAATTAGAAAAAAACCCCGTTTCCGTACAAGTCGAAGATCTATGTGCTCAACTCTGCAGCTCAGTGAACTTGTGAATGCACACACAATCATATATGATATAACCACATAATACATCGCTAGGCTCAGAATCCCCAATTAATTCTTGATTTTTCATATTCCCAAAAGCCAACTATGACCTTAAAACCCCCAATCTAACTTAAAAACCTCAATTTTGCCATCCCTCATCTCATAATCATTACTTCATCAAGTTAATTGACTTACAAACTCAGAGAGAGCCACATATCACCACATTGAAGTCTTTCTGACAATCTCTCCATCCCAATCACAAACAACCACTGACAATGTACAACAAAACTCTATGCAGTCAAAACATCAAGATTCATATAAACACATGTCCACAGACCTATACATACATATAGAGAGGGAGAGAGAGAGAAAAATTTATATATGTATGTGTAATTGTACATATACGTACCTGAGCAGCTTTGTAGGCAAGCATAGTATCTTCAGCAGCCTCCTTTCTCTCGGTTCCGACTTTGAATTCCGCAAGATACCGATAATAATCTCCTTTCATCTTCAAGTAAAAAACCTTAGACTCACTGGCCACCGCCGACGGAATCAGAAACTCATCCAGAAGTTTCAGAATCCCAGCACACACCTCCGAGAGCTCTGACTCGACCTTGTATTAAATAAATATTTATGTTACACTCTTTTTTATTAGCATAAACTTTTCTATAAGTTGTTAATTCCATATGATATCATAAAGTAGAAGTCTTGATTTTCAAATCATGTTGCACTTCTTTCCTTAGTACACAAGGAGAAAAAAAAAGTGTCCCATGAACCAATGTCGCACATTTTGAAACCGGTTGATTCACCATCTAGGTCGCCAAATTTCCCTACCCCAAATTATAACTCAAATCTTGGACTGGAATCAGAATGAGGCTGCAATTTTCAAAAATTTCGGGTTTTATTTGTAATTTTTTTTTTAAAAATTGTAATTTGCCCCCCACTAATTTTTTATAAAAAATTATGTTTAACACTGTTGAGATCTAATTTTGAGACTTAAATTATTAGTATCATTTAATTAGTAGTGGATCCCAACATTTAGTAAGATCCATTCAAATCCAATGACAACAATGGATTAGATCTCCAAATTAAGTTTCCATATTAAATGCACATAATATTATTGATAGTTTATATATTAAAAAACAAGTTTTATTCTTTCATAAAATAGAAAAATTAGACTTACACTTTCCTCATACAACTCAAATAAGGATTGTTACAATGAATTTTTTTGATAAACATTAATAAATCACTATTACAACATAAATAATTAACGATTACATCATTTGAATAACGCATCAATAATAAATGAGAAAACACCCTATAAGAAATCAATCCTGACCATTGGCAAGGATTGACCCATCCACCTCCTACGAATCAAGAGTGGGCAGTAAGACTATGCCTGGTTGGTTCTTATTTCAATGAGTTTTAGTGATTATTAATCGGTCATTCTCTTTAATTTGCTTTCTTGGTCGGTGCTCTATTTTTCTAGTTCCTTTTTGTCTCATTCTTTCCATTATTTTTGTTAAATTTGAATTGAAATTAGATCTTGATATGTGAAATCGAACTTTTAAATTGGGGTTTGAACTTTAAAATCCTAATATCAAAATTGATGAAAGCATTATAAATTCAAATTATTTTAAATATTTTTTTAATTTAATTGTACTATAAAATAACATTTCTATTTTAACTACTCACTTTTTTAATACACACTCCAACATATTTTCTATATTTTTAATTATTTCCTTTAAATATTATTTCTCATTCTTTTTTTATTTTTTTATTTTTTTGGATTAGTGAGAAACAGAAAGGGAGCTAATAGAGGAAAGGAAAGGAGGAGAAAGGAAATATTTTAAAGTATTTATACATGTTGCTGCAGTGGCACTCTATAGAGTGCCACTGTAGCAAATGCTATTTTATAAGACTAAAATTTTAGGGTAAAATAGCTAAAATTTAAATTTTTTGTGCACTTTACCTCATCTCTTGGAGATGCTCCTATATTTTCAATTAAATTGTTTGGAGCAATTGAACATTGACAATTTGACAGTGATCAATTAAAGTATTCTAGTATTTGAGTCAACTTGTGATAAATAGATTTTTTTCTAAATTATTTCCACTAAGTTTGTTCAATTAAATGAATATTACTAATCCTTAGAAGTTGTTTGCTAAAAATTGAATGATAAATTATTGGGTTTATGTTCCAAAAAGAAAAAACTACTGAATTTGAGTCAAACCAAACATGTTAATTTTGAATCAATTACGGATAAATTCCTTACAACAAAATTAATATTTAAAGAAATAATGTTAATATTATAATTTCAACTTATCACTTAGTTCTAGGTTACCCCCACTATCAACAATTCCTGGCTCCGCCCCTGCTCAAATCCTTAACTAACTTGTAATCAAGATAATTTCAAATTCGAAACTTAACTCCAAATTACAACAGAAAATGGGTATTTCTTTATTTTCATAATCTTTAAATATGTTTAATTCATTGTGATTTAATTTTGTTGTACAAATGTGCTACCATTAGCTTCTATTATTTACGATGGTTATAAAATTCTTTATTTTGAATTATGATGTGTTTTGTAATTCTTATCATAACTCTTAATTAACTATGTGTATAATTCTATATATGAATCAAAGTAATTCGAATTAGAGTTACAAAGGGAATCATGATCCATTGTAGGATGTCAACTAAGTATATGCCCAGGGTATCAAAATATGATACGGCTCATTAATACGACGTCGCAAAATTAGAAGTTTTAAGTCTTTCTTAAACACCCGTTTCATAAACGAAAAGACCCATCACGACACGGGATGATTAACAAATAAATTGAATAATGGTGAAGCCGATCAAAAAAAATGTATAATACGAATTGTGTATACACAATATAAATATAATATAATATGATTAGTTAAAGATAAATTAATAAACAAATCAGAGTGGAGTGTATTTTAACATGAACCGTTACAGATGCAACATGAACGCGTTTTATCCGACACTAATGATAAGTTTACCTATAACCACTCATACCACTCAACTCAAGATGACTCTGGGCGTAAAAAATATTAAATAAATATTTATGGTACACTTCTAAATCAATTCAAACTTTTTTATGAGTTGGTGATTTAATACCTTCGATCTGTAGTCCTTGACTAGCGCCACATGGTCGTCGTTCTTGCGGCCTTCCTCTTTCTGCTCGATGGACGACACAATCCGCCACGCCGCTCGGAGAGAGCCGATGACGTTCTTGTACGCCACAGATAATAGGTTCCGTTCCTCAACGGTGAGTTCGGCGCCGGTGGACGCCGTGCCGACGACGAGTTTGCCCATGAATTTGACCATCTCTTCGTAGCGCTCGGCTTGCTCGGCGAGTTTCGCCATGTAGATGTACTGGTCTCTGGTTAAGGTCTCCATGGGGATAGAGAATTGGAGGAGAGAGAGAGTGGATTTTGCAGAGAGAGAGAGAGAAAGTTTTCAAAATCGGGTAAGATTACGAGGTATTGAGTTGATTGGCTGTCGTTGTCTTGTCTGAAGGAGTGTTCAATATAATATAATACAATAAGTAATGCCAGATGAAATTAAAAATTAAATTTAATAATTTTAACCATGGAATAAATAATGAGTTCTAATAAATGTTAGAACTCATAGTGAAATCAATGATTGAAATAATCAAATCTACTTTTTAAATCCATGTAGCATTACTCTAATACAATAGGCTGCTAATCAGGAGAGGCTTGCTTGCGAGTGTCAATTTAGGAAGGGTACTCGCCATTACTTTTTTGTTTTTAACGAGGGTATTTAATTCTTATACTCCTTACCTCAAAAAAATAAAATTTTTATAAGATAAAAAATATCATTGAACCAAATGTCCATGGGTACTCGCCATTACTTATACAAAATTTTTATTACAAAAAAATCTTTTTAAAATAGGTCATATTAAACTCAGGATGTTAAATAAATATTTTATATATGCAATCAATCTTTAATTAATCATAGATATTCATTATCTTGGGTATAATTATTAGAATCGGACTGAATATCAAACCGACATAAAAATCGGATCAATAATTTAATAGTTAGATTAATTGGTCAGATCGATCGTATAATTAAAAAATAAAAAAATTATAAATATAATAATTTAAGTAAACAAAATATGAAACATGTCCGAATGCATACAATTTACCAAAAACTTAATAAATTAAGGTAGAGAAAAGATAATTTTGGATCATTCACAAAGTCTTGCTTTAACTTTGGTTAACTACTTTCGGTTCACCTAATGCTTGACGTTAAAAATGAAAAATTAATAAAATTTACGACAACAAGGACCAGAGACCAAAAGCTGAGTTGCATTTGAAGAGAAAAAGACAAGAAGTTTAATCACTTGTGAGAGAGAGTTGCACAACTAGGGACGGTAGTGTATTGAAAAAAAAATGAGTATTCGTCTAAATCAGTCTTGTTTAGACTAGGGATGAACTATATGTATTAAACAGTGATCGTACATGGAGATACTCGTATAAACTCATGCGAAGATGAAAACGAAAATGGACCTACCCTTACCCCCACCCCGTCCCTGTTACCTGTTAAAGCCCGCCTCTAGTCCACCATCGTCTCTCTCTCTCTCTCTCACAGTGTCAATCGTTGATCCTCAGTAGCTCAACTGCTCGCCTCCACTTATTCATCGCTCAAGAACATCACTGATCGCTGATCGTTGCTACCAATATCGTTGATCACTGATTTGGGCCTTCCTCGTTTCCACATTTCACCGATTTTTCGAACATTGGTGTGGTAGGTGAAGATCACATGAATATTTTCCACTAGACTGTTTCATTTAAACATGGACAGACATGTTTATATAAAGATATATAGATATAGACACTTATGGTTATATACAAATTCATGTCTTTGATGCTTCATTGTGGTGTGCCTCTTTGGTTTGTAATGGTTTGAGCTTGTGACTGACTTCTCTGGGTTTAATTGTCTCCGTACGTTCTTGCTAGATCTAGTATATAAAATGATCAAAATGTGTATGAGTTTTGCATTTTATTCTACTCACAACTAGGGATGGCAGTGGACCAACTTTGGTAGTTAATTTTGGAATTTAAATCTGGCTCTTGTTTTCTTAGAATTATCTTTATCCCTTCTTTGCTTCTTGAGTTTACGTACTATCTGATGATCCACAGAAGGACATTCGTAAGAAATATTGTGTTGAACTGTAATTAGATGTTACTAAGTCAGATGTTTACCACTTAAGATCATTCTTTCAAGTGTATTGGTGTCCTGTTGTCTTCTTTCTCCATTGTTTAGCCTGTACAACAATACTCTCCTTTAGTGTAGGTTTTTTAGTCTCCTCTTGATACAGCCTATTCTGGACCATTTTCTTGCCCTCAACCACTTCGCATGTTTCACATCTTTTTTGTTTTTCATGTTCCTTTGTACTTTCACCCATGTATCAGTGCAGACACTTTTTCATTATAACCTGCCTATAGGTTGCTTGTATCTTGAGGCTACTGAATCTCCTTTGCATCTGTACTTCCCCTTTCGTGTAGAAATCGATATGCTATTTAATTGCTAGATTGCTTTGCATGCTCATTTTTGTTTGATTATTTATATTGCTTAGTTGATTAAGTAGGAATGAAAGGAGAAGAAATGAGAAATAATATGTCAACTCCTCAAACTTCTGCAACACCGGGTAAAAGCAACCAACTTCCAATCTCTATTGATGAAAATTAATCTACCAACTCAACTCCAATGACTCTTGGTGAAACAAATAGACATAGATCATTTGTGTGGAATCATTTCAAGAGGAAAATAATTGATGGGAAGTTAAAGGCTAAGTGCAATGAATGTAAGAAATTGCTTGTTGGTGGTGCTAAGAATGGAACTACCCACTTGCATGACCATCTTAAAAGTTTTTCGAGGACGAAGTATAAAAATTTGAAGCAATGTTTACTGGTATCAAACCAATTAAAGAACGATACTGAGAAAACAATAGAGAACTGACAATTTGTTCAAGAAATGGGGAGGAGGGATCTTGCCAATATGATTGTATTGCATGAATACCCTTTTATTTCAAAAATATTGTCACACTCTTCAACCAATATTAAAAATGATATCTCGGAACACTCTTAGAAATGATATCCTTCAAATTTACAAAACCGAAAAGGAGAAGACAATGAAATTGTTGGAAAAGATAAAAAGTAGAGTTGCTATCACTACGGACATATGGTCCTCAAACAATTAAAGAAAGGGATACATGACAATCACCACACACTTTATTGACAATTCTTGGATATTGCAAAGTCAGATTATAAGGTACTACTGATCTTTCATTAGCATGTGTTATTTGTTATAGGGTACTAATGATCTTCTATTAACATGTTTTATTTATTATCTTTAGATTTTTATATGTGTCTTACCCACATACCAAGGAAGTGCTTGTGGAGTGTTTCATAGATTGCTTTTTCGATTGGAACCTTGATAGAAAGTTGATCACTTTGACTGTGGATAATTGTACCACTAATGATGTAATTGTGACTATTTTGTTGGATAAATTTCTATTTGGTTTACTAATATTGCACGGTCTGTGACACCCCAAATTCATGGGGTCCGTTAATTTTTCATCAACCCACGGAATGCCCGTGGATACCGTATAACTCGATATCGTACCGTTGTGTCCCATTTACCGGGATCCATAATTTAACGAAATTCGGGCAGAGTCTCCTTTGTACGGGAAGTTCTACCCCAAAACACAATCTGTGCAATCAACATTTACATGACCCATCCGAGGTCCAATATAATACCATAACCACAAAGGGTCCATTTTATACGTAAAACTTGATCACACCGGGTCCAATATAATACCATAACCACAAAGGATCCATTTTATACGTAAAACTTGATCACACCGGGTCCAATCATCATATTTATATCAAAATATGCAAGGTTATATTAAAACAGTCCATATATACTCTATTACAATTCCTTTACACATTACATGCCAAAATTTAATTACAAATCTACTTTTACAAAAAAAATGGATTGGAAGCCACAAGTCGGCTTTTCTTCAACCATGTGACCCTGATTGTGAGCCGTCCATTGGTACATGACCCACACCTGAAATGTTTCCCATATAGGGTGAGTCAATGCCCAGTAGAATAATCCCTATAGAGGCTACTCATCACCTAAAATGCATATGCAATGTATAAATGCAACATTTCACAACAAGTATTCCCTCCAACAATAACATATAATACAATGTTGGAAAATCATGATGTCATGCCAAGTAATGAGATGAAACTCACCCATGCATGCTATCCCGAGCCCACACCGACTCCCACAACACAATACGACACTTACGTGTAAAACAAACGTCTTTGATGAAACACATCCAAAGATCATTTTGAAATCAACCATATGTCATAAAACTAATTCATTCTTGGATGTTTCCCATCAAATGAATAATTTATATATCAAAATCATGTGCCTTTATGGGGTATCGGATTCAGGAATCGCACCTCCGGCTCCGTACGCCGTTACACTTTTCTGAAATTTCACCGCCGGTAAGTGTATGAACCAAGTGGTCGGATTTTTCACCCGAATGAGTGTCTAGCCCTACTTGCTATACCCGACACAAGTTTTCTTATCCATGTCACCGTGCGACTCCGTAGGACGTTCCATCCCACTTTCCCGAGCCTACCATCAAGTACCAATGTTGGTGTTGATCACCCCATGCAACCCTACACCCACACTCATGCATGTAGCCCATGAATGTGATGTTAATTCCATGTCCATATTGCAATGCATGCCAAGTGACAATTTTTAAATATCATTGTATACCATGACAATTAATATCATTTGCATATAGTCACATAACCATTTCAAGTTCAATATATCCAAGAGCATATATCAACACTCCATCAACATGATAACACATAATACATGCTAATATTACATTTCATTCACAAGGCATAATATAAAACACAAAGCATGCCCACATGATCCCAATTTCCAAGGGATTACATAAATACTTCCATATACCAAAATCAAGCCAAGATTTTATATGGATCATTCAAACAAAATAAAAATCAGAATATATAATTTTTATATAACCAATTATCTAAACATTCAAGAAATCACAAACTAGCACTTTCTAACTACCAATTCACACTAGAATTGATCCTACCCATTTTCATAGCACCAATCATAATGGAAAAATATTAGAAATACCCAAAACAGCCCACACGAACCCTATGGACACCTTAGGTTAGAAATAGGTACGAGTAGGAGGAACCCTACCTCTTGAAGCGTAAAAAATTTGTAGGAAGCCTCAAGAACAAGATTGAAGCCCAAAGCTTAAATTTCTCTAAAATCCTCCATTTGAATCTTCGGTGAAAATCTTTGTTTTTGGTACTCATGCGTAGCTCTCGTCGCGTAGATCGACTTTAATTCTTGGCCCGACGAATTCCGACCAACGAAACTCCGAGAATCGGCGAAAGAAAGCTTGAAGAATTATA